CCTCAAGAATAAACTAATTCATCATTCCCCATCATTCATCGAGAAGAATTTTTAATATTCATCATTAGATCTTCGATTATAAAATCGATCTCTTATTCTTTCTCATCGAAAAATCATTATAAATAATATTCTAAGAATATAATCTCTCTTAATTAAAATATTCATTCGAATCTCGGGTTCTTCTTGAAAAATATATATATATAGGTTCGACGCCTAAATTCAAAATGACTTCATTTTTAAAGAACATTTTTGTGTAACCTTGCACAGAATATTCGCTCGATTTATTTGGATTTTTTGGATCCTATTTTTTAGAGATTTCTGGTGAATTAGGGAAATTTAAGATTAAAATCGAATTTACCAATTTGCTTTCGAGAATGAAATTCTGCTTCAATGTGCCCACATTCCTCGGTTTTGGAACGGGGGTTCTGCGAATGGCGTGCCGGAGTCTCGAAAGCACGTGAGAGCCCCTTCGGGGCTCCTTCGGCCCAAGGCAGAGAGATGCACCGTGATGGAAATCCCACCCGACCCTAAACCGAAACCCTGAACCCTAAAGCCTCCGAGCCCATCTGGACTGGTTCTTCATCAAAAACTATCGGACGTAGGTACCCTATGTAATACTTGGAAGCCAAGAAAGGCAGATCTAAGGTATATCATTCCTCGGTTCCCTCTAGTAAGAACTAGGAATAAGAAGGCTGTCACTTTTTGGCTCAAAGGGCCGAAGAAGGGAACCTAAAACTCCAGAAAGGGAATTCGGGCCTACTCTGGATCCTAGAGGAAGTCTCGGAATTCTTGGGCTCTCTCTCCCCCTCAGCCGCCAAAGTTCACGTAGAAGGACAGGAAAGCATCCAAGTCCAAGTGCCTCCGCCAGCCTTGCCTTGCCCCAATCCACCACTCCTGCACGGACTTAAGCTTTAGGGTTCTAGGGTTTAGGGATTAGGGTTCAGGGATTAGGGTAGATGGGCATTTGGGTGTGTGGGTGCATGGGCTGATGGGTTGGGTTTGGGGTCGAGGACCTGAAATGATGCGCGCCAAATGTCAAATGCCTGAATCCCAATGATTTCAGCTGAGCACATGTGAAGTTCGTTCGCACTGATGGTCCCTTCTGGAGTTTCCTTTTGCAATACCCAGCCGAATATACTTCGGGTATCGAAGTTCAGGGAGAGACGGATTTCAGAACGCTGCCCACGACTGTCGGATGCCATGGACTTGAGCCCAAAATCCCCAGACTCCTAGGGACAGGGTTTAGGAGGGTTTGGGAATGTTCCCGGCTCCTTCTTTTTCTTCTCTGGAAGCTCCTGCCCTTGCCTTGGCGGCTCATGAGATTTCATGGGCCTAGCTTAGCTGAATGAAGAACTCCGATTCTGCGGTTTCGGTTGTGCTTGATTTCCTCTGCAAGCAACTCAAGTCGAGTCCCTTAAGGACACCGAGTGGCGGCAGATTTGTAAGTCGGGCCATGAGGGAGAGGAACTCCTCGTAGCCCAGCTTCCCACTGTTATTGCGGTCAGCCTGGCCCAGCATTTGGATTCGGGGACAGAGAGAGATTTAGCCCTAAGCTGTTCTGGCTTCCCATCTCCTTAAGGGCCTTAGACTTAAACTTCTCTCTCAAGAACTATGGTTTCACCTCCTTCCCCATCCCGGATCCTTGTCAAACTTGGTCTTGAGCTGGTCGAGCTCCTGAGAATTTAATTTAGGGGCCTGAAGAATTAGAACAGAGTTTTGGGGCTCTCATAGTAAAAACGGGGTCATAAGGGAATACTACTAGTAATTTCTTCGACCCTATACTACTTGTGGCTAAGGGCTCCCTCTGAATTTCGGTGGTACTTGTACTGACCATCATCCGCAACTCTGCTGCCTGTCAGTTGTGCCGGCGGCACTCCTCCTGTAGCATCTGCCGCCCGGACCCGTGCTGACACTTTATTACTGCAAAACCACAGGGTACAGGCACCCGCAATCTTGCAAAGGTCCTTTTGCGGTACAGTCTTTTTATCACGTGTCGTAGCTATCCACGCCCTTTCTGCCAGTGACTCCAATGGCATCAAAGCGGCAATGAAGCTGAGGCCATACTTTCGTGCAAGCTGCCGCAGCTCCCTCTCTTGCCGGCTGAGGAGCACCTGGAAACAGATGGAGGGAGGTTCTTGGAAATCCGAGAGACTCTTCAAATGCCCCCCCCCCCCCCCCCCCCCCCCCCCCAAGGTTCGGGTTTTGGGAAAAAGGAACTTGAAGTTTGTCAGAGCGAAGCGGGGCTTACGTTACCCAGTGCCTCCTCGGAGAAGCAGAAGCGATGGTAGAAGTCGAGGAACTCCAAAAGATCCAGCGCACCATTCTGGTTCCTTGAGATTTACTGTTCGGGCTGGATGGGCTGGGCCTGATAACTTTATTGCAGAACTTGATGTGTGGTTGGCCCGCGCCCGGGACATGCTTTGGGAATACCGTCCAGTATCGATCTTGCGAAGGATCTGGCTGGCAGTCATAGCAACTGCAAGGTACAGAACCAACTCTTTTCTCTCAGTGTGTATCCTAGAATACTGGCAATTCCAAGCGTCGAGTCGACCGCCTTGAGCGCACCGCCAACGAACTCCATATCCAGCTGCACGGGGTCGTCAACGTCGCTGATGGCGCAACAGGTCTTAAAGAGCGCGTCCCGAGACATGCTGCCCAAGCTGGGCATCTCGAAAGGTGTCCCCGCCAGCACCGCCTCCTGAAGGGAAAAAGGCTGAACAAAAAGAACGAGAGAGCCCGAACTCTCATGCAGAGCGCAAGACTCTGGCGGATACTGAAAAAAAAGTGTGCGTTTCCTTGACCTCACCTAAGCAAAAGTACCTTCAGATGGACGCGGGGCAGTGGTGCCTCCGTCAAGCCCATCTTTTCGCGATTGGATGTTCCATTGTCGGCAAACTTGTAGAACCAGTTGAAGGCTTGCTTGCTCACCTGATGCAGGCAATTTCCTAGATATCCCGGAGGACTGAGGCAGGCAAGCGCAGCAACCAATCGCAACACTGTCTGCGTGTACTCTACTTCGTGTCTTTGCAAGCCCCTCCTGCCATGGAATGTCCTCCAGCTGCGATAGCTTCTGCAAGGTCATCCGTTCCAGCGGCGTGGGCGCCCGAACCTCGACAGCAACGGCCACTGAACTTGTCAAGCAAGCAAGTGTAGATTAGGAATATACATCGAGCTTAGATGATATGTTGCGGTATGTTACAAGTTGCATGTTGTCGCCATAGAAAAAGCCCAGTAGATCATCTAGCAAAGGTTGCAAACTCACATGGTATGGCCCAATATACGAAAAGGTCATGTACTTTGTCTGAATGAAAATGGATACTATTTGCTGTTACATTTTATTTGTTAATGTTGGACTGGCTTTAGTATGAGGAGGCTCTATAATCACAAGTCTCGACAAAATCTGCGAACCGAGTTTGTTCAGAGTACCCGCGATTATCACAAGTTTTTTTTTCCGGACTTTGGGTTAAGGGCTTACGCGGTAAGGCTTGAGGCCCTGAGGGTCTTGGGCTCCAGGAATCTCAAAGAGCCAGAGCGCGGAGAATCCAGAAATCTAAGCCCGGCCAGTTCCATGTAAAGCCTCATGGAACTTCATTACGAAACGAGGCCCCAAACAAGTTTTGTGATAGGTAGCCCGCGGGCCGGTCGGGCTGTCTTTAGTAAGTTTGTCTGGCTACCCTCTATAGTACCAAGCTTTTTCGGATGATGTTGTTTAAAGGGTTTGTGTTTAGGGTTAAGGGCTTACGCAAGAAGGCTTGAGGCCCTGAGGGCCTTGGGCTCCAGGAATCTCAAAGGCTGGGAAGCTTCAGGCCATGAGGTCCTGAAGGCTTGAGGCCCTGAGGGCGGTTCCCCCCGCCCTCCCATTTGTTTGGGGGGGTCGCCGCGCCATGCGTTTATAGAGGGTCCCAAATTTGTTTGGGGGGGGGCCATACTAAAGACAGTGCAACATTATATGCTACATGTTTTGAGCATGAGGCGATGTTGACGTATATGTAATGGATACTACAATAATGAAGCTGCATATATGTGTGTGTGTGTGTGTACGGTATACGTTCATACAAACTTTACAGAGTTGCTGGTTACCTAGAAGCTCATCCGGCCTCAGGGTGAAATATCTTCGTGCGGCCATGACTATCATGGCACATTCGATGGTGCAGTGGTTTCACGTCTCTTGTGGAAAGGCGGCGCTGCTCGGGCTGCTCGGAGAGCTTGCTTGCTAAGTTTAGCAGGATGTTCGCAGCGTGCCAGTCTGCCGTCCAAGGCTCCAATTGTTCACGAGAGGGGGCTTCTCTAGGCGATCTTGCCATCCCTCACTAAGTACCTGTAATCATCAGGAACGGAAGTCTCCAAAGCCACAACCGCCCCTGAACCCTCGACGATGCTTTGCAGTTAGGTTCCGGTCCCTCGCGCACCTCCTCCTTCGGAGGGACCGATGCCCTGGAGCTGCGGCGTCTGCCCAGCCGAAGGGAGGCAGACATGCGGCGGCTGAGCCTGTGGGGTTTACAAAGGGGGGAATAAGGGGGGGCATAAGGGTGTAATCGGGGTATAGGGGTATAATAGGGGCATAAGGGTATAAGGGCATAATGGGGGTATAAGGGTATAATCGGGGTATAAGCCGGGTATATATGGGGACTATGAGCACGGCGAGAGGACTGTGATGTAGATGCAGCTAGAGGATGGACAAGGGATGGCGATGAGAAGTCATGGAAAGGGTTTGTAGTGGAAATGCTGGTGAGTTGGAGTTGTCAGTCGTGGAAAGATTGTTTGCAGATTCGGAAGAGAAGCTAACACTCGTCAAGACTTCACTGCAGAGGCTTAGACTTTAGGCATTCCCTAGATTCCCGCTGCTTGAATCACCTTGTTGACCAGCTTGCAAACACCTACAGGAAGCTGCAGGTTGTGCCGACATTCGCCGGGACAGTAAGGGTGGGGCTTGCTGAAGGTCATCGTGCTCTCGGTGAAGTCCACCGTCTCATCGGACAGGGAGGTCCGGGCGGAGGATGGCTCGGACTCCTTCCAGAAACCCTCTCTTTGTCCAAGGCCCTATGATACATCAACATCCCGCACCTCTGCAGGGAGGGCATGGAGGACCACAAAGGACGTGGGTCCAAACGACGAACGAGAAAGCGGACGTTGGAAGGCAAACGCGAACCGAACCGCACGAACAGCAAGAAACACGGAACCAGGCGAACCAGAACCGGTGCTCGAAAGCAACCGAGCCCTACCAACCTGAACCAGTTTTGCCGAGCAATCGGTTTGAAAGGTCCTCCCCAGAGATTTTAGACCCCAAATGCGCCACAAAAGTGGATTCACTCCCGGGTGGCCCAAACATGCCCCCCCCAAACCCGCGAACAGTGGGCCACGAGCAAAAGGGTGATGGAAGCACGCGCTTCGAGGCCAGTGGCCGGGGTGCAGGAGGCTGCTGTCTGCTGTACCTTGTACTGATTCTTGCTCAGATCTTCGACATATTGGGAAGCATTGGAGGGCAGCCAAGAAGTGAATTCAGGCGCTGTGGGAAGTGCTCTCCGTGAGTTTTTGACTACCTCCTGACCCTCAGACTGCTCGAGTTAGAGGGGTGTTGTGGGTGGGCCACACGAGCATCCTGAAAGACCCTGAAGAAACAGGCCGATCCATGCATCGATTGACACGGCTGAACACGTCTAGCCTGCAGCACAGTGCAAGTCATAGCTTTTTGAGCTGAAGAAGGAGAAGGCCCTCTTGACAGGTTCGCCGCTGACGGAAGTCACGTAAGTTGTGACAGCGGGATGGACGAGCGGCTTGTCATGACTGTAGCCGGATTTGATCAAAATGTGCCAGTTGCACCACCAAAACGTGCCAGACTTATGAACCTTCTTGAACCCTAGACTTCCCACACCCAACAAACGCCCGGTCCTGGGGCCCCTGGACTCGAAGGTCCCGAAGCGGATCCCAGTCGTAGTTGGGCCTGTCGATGCCCTTCAGCAACCTGCTGGTGAGCTCCAGCCTGTCGCTGTCAGTGATGTGCCGTTTCGTGCTCCCAAGGAGGACGGGCTCCTTCCTCGCAGGGGGCAGCTGTGACTCTGTACAACCTTGACACCCGCAGACACTGGACCTCAACTGTGGCAATCGGCCGACGAATGCCAGACTCTGCAGACCCCTTTGTTGGGGGGGGGGGGGGGGGGCAGATGTGTCGCACGACAGGTGGGAGTTAGGCAATCTCGGTTCTGGAGTGAGGTACAGAACGGAATTTCAAGGCATTTGCGGGGAGTCCCAAACATGTTGGGCTAATCGCAATCTCAAGCATGCTGGGGGGTGTAGAATCAGTTTTCAAGCATTTGGAACCATAGGCCCTCACACGAAAAAAACAACACTCAAATAAGTTGGTCAAAGCTTTCGAAAACGTCAGGGCAAAAACCTAGAAACCCTATACAAGTCCCAACACAATGCAAAACCGAAACCTCAGTCCTCTTCCCGAGCACGCCTTTGAGCCAACTCTGGTGTGCGGCCTTCGAGGATGTGGTCTCCTGGTCGAGCTCCAACATCGTGCTAACGTCATGCTGTGAGCCCTCCTGGTCCACGCTACATAGGGGGTTTGCGATAATAGGGGACCCCCAATATCGATCCCCAAATAGTAGGATCCCCTTTATAATAAGGACCCCCAAAAAGGTACCTCGAGTTTCGGAAGCCCCCCCCACATCCTACAAGGAAGCCTAGCTCTTGACTCCTGGTCCTCATACTCCTCCTCCTCCTCCTCTCGAAAGGCTTTCTGAATGTCAGACCTCGGAAAAAAGCAGCTGGGAAGCTTCTCAAGTCTGGCGTGGAGGGTGCATGGAAGGGGAAGGCATGAACTGAAGTCGTTCTTATTAAAGCGGCTCCTCCACCATGCGCTTGTGACACGAGACAGGCTCAGCACAGAATGTCCCCGAACGCTGACCCAAAGCCCTAAACCCTGTCAGCAGCTCAGAAGCCACACGCAATAACAACCATGAGAACCGAGAACCCATACCGGCAACCCCCAAGCGAGGCATCAGAATGGGAGGTTCAAAGAACCAATCTTTGAACTCGGGTCCTGCACCTAAGTTAATTCCATCATGCTCCTCTCTCCCAAAGAGGGACCCCCCCCAAAAGCTTTTAAGCCCCTCAATCCATCAACCACCCCCCCCCCCCCCCCCCCCTGCGCAGCCACCCAGTCCCTTCCACTTTCCTGGCCTGAGCTTCCATTCGCCATCGTAGGATGTTGCGAGGAAGCGCTGAGAGGAAGGCGGCCTCCTTTGTCGGGGGGCACTTCATGTGGTTGAGTCTGATTGGGGCATCAAGCAATAAAGCCTCAAGCCCCCCCCCCCCCCCCCCACAAAAAAAAAGAACCCAAAGGCACCAAGACCCTCAAATAGCCCCAAGAGTAACCCTGACCCCTCATCAACCCTCGAAGAGCCCCCTCAAAGCCTCCCTCGCCTCTTGACCACCTCCTGGCCCCGCATGGCAAAGGACTTCCGGCCCAGGGAAGGGGAGCCGAGGCTTGCCTCAGCTTGAAGATCGAACCACCCTCGCTACTAGAGGACCCTCCTGTAGCAAAAGAAAAAGCCTCCTAGGTCCGGATATGGGAGTATGAGGGGGAGGGGGCGCTCGACTCATGCGGGCCCTTGTCCGCACCAGGAAGGGCCCCATAGATCAAGCGGCGCATGACCCTTTTCTTGGCACTGACTTCAATCCGACTCTATGAGGGCCTAGGGCGAGCACGGGCTTATGCCTGGTGGTGATCGCGGAAATCTGGGACCCCCGCGTTACCTACGCTTCTTTCCCACACTCCTTTTTGTTGTTCATGCATGGCCCACGAAACCTACGGAGCCCTGATCTTTGCTCTTGAGCGGTATCAGCTGACTTCCCACTCATACGAGACCCTGGATCCGAAGCGCAAGCTTCCCAGAAACCGAAAACCCTCCACTCCCTGCCTTGGGTTCCAGAGGATCATTGGCTAAGGAGTCTGTGCGCATCCGATCGAAGGACCTCAAGTTTCGAGACTTTCTCGACACTTCTGGGGCGCTCTCTCGGAAGTTTGATGGGTGCCAGTTGGGATGTTCCCAATTATACTAACAGTCCTTAGTAGTGCATAGTAGTGAAGGACTGTTAGAATAAGGGGGACACACCCCAAGGTGGTCTGGGATGCTGTGCGAAGCAAGGGACACACCCACTGCGGAGCTCATCCTCTGGAATGTCTTCTCCTGGAGGGCGACACCAAGTTCAGTTGTGGTGGAAAATTCGGTTCGAACCCAACCCCCCCTACTGCAAACCAAACACCTGGTTCGGAGGAGGTCGGGGGTTTAGACAGAGAAGAGGCACAAGTGCTGCAAGAAGTGGGCAGCCCTATTCTTAACTTCGTTCAGCTGCATCGGTTCTGAGTGCCCCTGTCTTGCTTCAAGGAGGGGTAGCATTTCCGGAAAAAGCCCCCCCCTCCCCCCAAAAAAAGAGACAGACAAGCACGACGAAAAATGAGAAAGCAGTCCCGGGAGTTGCATAGCAGGAAAGACGAGGTCGACGAAAACGTCGAGGACTTTCCGAAGCGGTTTGACGCCTTAAGCGACATGCTGCCATCCGGCCCTTGGCGCTCTGCTTCGCAGAGCCAGGGGCCCTGGCTGAAGTGAGATTTCCCTCGAGCCACAGTGGATTCCGCCGGTCGCGCGTGCGGTGAACATGACGCATCAGGGCAACCAGTTGCACCGCTACAAGTGGCCGGCGACACCTTCCATGTTTTTTTCCTCACAAGGGCCTTGCGCGCCTCTGCGTCAATGCTAAATGGTCTATTGAAGTACATGGAGTTGCACGAGTAGATGCTTGGGAACTGAGCCGGGACCATCACTGTCTACCGGGTCTACCGATCACCTAGAAGGCCCAACACCTTGCACAACCCAAAGCTCCACATGACAAGACGTTGGAGTTGGGTGGCTGTTCGTCCCACAGAGCTCGAGCCACGCTCCATGCAAGCTAAATCCTACAGTGGCGTGGCGCAGGAGGACAGAACATGGATAAATACCCGAGGAGCTCAAGCCGTCTTTCAAGTTCTGTCCTTTGCAACTAGTCAATACATCCCTGCGGCACCACGCCTTCTACTCAGCTGCCTGCTGCGCAAGCGCGAAAACTCTGGCAATCTCCTGAGTCTCGGGGAAGGGTGGTTCAGTCTGCAACGGGGGCCGTTGAAGCAGAAAGGAACGATCAGGATGTAAAAATAGCGGTGACGAACTTTTCTCAGACTCACAACAAGAATCATCCACGTGCCCTTTAAGATTTGCATTGGCAAGGGCTTGGGACAGGGGGTTTGCTCGTGAAATGTTCTGGGCCCTATGCCTCGGCAAGCGAGCTCCAAACAACAAGCCCAAGTCCCAACTCCTGGGTCTTATGAGGGCTTACTCTTTGCACCAAGCCGTCCTAAACCCTAAACCCTAAACCCTAAACCCTAAACCCTAAACCCTGAACCCTGAACCTTAAACCCTCTGAAGGCAAAGGGGCTTTGGTTGGAACGCCCCCCTTCTTGGCAGCGTCGCGCGCCACCTTGATCCTCCCAGGATCCCCGGACCTCAACAAGTAGGGTCTAGGGCCTAACATTTAGGGTTTCGGGTTTCGGGTTAGGATTTGGGGTTTGGGGTTTGGGGTTTTGGGTTTGGGGTTTGGGGTTTAGGATCAATTTGCAGTTCAGGATGTGAATCCAATGCTGGCAGGAGGAAGCTTGTGTTTTGATGATGGGGGCCGGCGGTTGACGCTCTATTCCAAAGTTCCAAAGATTTTGGGTTCAGGGGTTTAAGGACAGATGGGGTTTAGGGCTTCAGGAGCCTAAGGTCAAGCTCACCATCCATGATCATCCATGGGTAAGAAATGGTAAGAAGATCGTGTACCACAGGAAGAAACCTAGTGGTCGGTCTTCCCAGTTGTCAAAGTCTGAACATCTGCCAGAGCGTTGCTTTGCTTGAGGTCCCCCGCGCGGCAGCCTCGGCAAAGGCATCCAGCAGGCGCTCCTGCGCAGGGCACGGAGATCCGAATTCCATTGAGGTCCGAGGCTACTGAATGTGTACTGAGCTTAGGGTTAGATCAACGTCCCGAGACATCTGCAGCCCCACTGCAGAGGCGTTCCTACCTGGAAGTAGTAGGTTTCCCCCCACATTGACAAGCCTTATCGTACTTCCCAAGGTGTGCTCGCAGCAGGCGGAAGGCCTGTTCCGCAGCAAGCTGCACGGCAGCGACCTTTGCCTGCGTCCCGGGGTCAAAAGGATTGAGCCCTATACCCTGAACCCTAAACCACACAAGTATTGGGAACATATCCCTGCTGCATATGAGGGGAAAGCATTGTCCTAAGCACGGGAGAAATGGGGAAACATGGTTTCCCCCATCTTGAGAAGCGTTTAGAGGCCGCGACAAGAAGATTCTGCTGAGGTGGTGGGGGGCCATAACAGGCTCCCAAGCCTTACTTGGGGTCCAGGAGAAGCGGGCTCGGGTAGAAGGCGCGTTCGGGCTTCAGCTCTTCTACCCGAACACCCCTGGAACCCCCTCACCCCCCGCAGGATGCTCGCCCATTTTGCTATGTGACTCCGCTAGCTCCCTCAGATGCTAGCTTTCGGGGGGCGTCGCCTTTTTTGCGCATGATTCGCGTGAATCGGAGATCACCTCATGCAGCTGCATTTGGCAACTTCGCGAGAGTCGATCTACGAGGTCTCAGCTGCTTGTGTCTCATGCCAACAAACCAATACTCCGGATGCGTCGCTTTGTTCTACCCACAGAATAGATTCGCCATTGCCGCACGAGTAGACAACCATATGCATAATCCCACTGCTGAATACCTCAACAGCATGTGCACGCCAGCAGCCGAGAATGACAAGCTCTTAGGTGCTGGCCGGAGCAGTTGAGCTCTCGGCAATTTACATCGGCATGCTCTGAAGGCCCTTCGTGAACCTTGCCTGATTCTGTAATCATCCCAGTGAACACAAGCTTGTGTTGAAATTCGGAAAAGTCAGCATTTGAGGTTGTAGTAAAAGCAAGCGAACCAGTCACATAGTTAGTTGCGTAAGACCAGTACCCTAGGCATGTTGCAGCTCATCGAGAACCATTGTGGTAGTCATCTGAAGACCAGGAAACATGCTTGTGATGTATTTATTGGTTATTGCGGCTGTGCAGTCGCCAAGTGACCGTTGCTACAGCATTGGCAGAGAATTGCTGTTTTCGTGTCGCGCCGGCCTTCCATGGTGAGCCCCAGGAGTGGAAAGTAATGAACATGAGTTAACACGCATGAACACACTTCGCATCGTTGGCCTTCCCAGAAACCGTCAAGACCTTCTCGTCTAGTCGGTATTTAATTATCTCTAAGTAGAACATAGCCATGAAGCCAAAGGTAGCAAAATGCTCAAACAGATCTCACCTCAATCTAGTTACCCAAGCGGAATATTTCCCCACAGCGATACGTGACTTGAAGCCCTTCAGAATTCTGGTCAGGCAGTTGAATAGCTATGTTCAAGAACTGGAGAATTCTGCTTGACACTCGGAAGAGTATAATGAGCATGAAGACACGTGTTAAGATTTGGAAGCTGTTGTTGTATGTACATGTTGCATGTGCAAGCTCTGAATATAGTCCGAACCTGTTCATAGTAACAGCATCTGTCTATTTGTCCTTGTATCTCACTCTGTCTTCTTCCTCCCTCTCTCTCACGCAGCATTAGACAATGTGCGAACTTGTATGTAGTATAGATCAGCATGATCGTCATGAATGTATGGCAAACAAGGCAGTGTATTGACATGTGAAGAAGCGCACCTATCAAGGTACCTAATATACATGTACACATGTAGTGCATGTACAGGAAGCTCCTTACTCTTTGTCAGACACGGCTCTTGCTCCCCTGCGGAATGCGAGTGCTTGGGAGGCCTGGGCCCCCAGGGCATGCCTTGCGCTCACGGAGCTTGCGGCAGTAAAACACTGCAGGGAGCTGGGGTTTGAGGATCGTGGCCTGGTTACCGGGCGACCACTGTGTGACCTGTGTGATTGATGGCCGGAAACAGATTGGATGGGTGTCCCCTGAATTAGCGCTGGGCCCCTAAACCCAAAAAACCCTAAACCCTAAACCCTAAACACTAAACCCTAAACGCTACACCCTACACCCTAAACCCTTAAGGGTTCCAGGCCGGCTTGAAGCATGGGCAAGCGATGGATGGCATGGCCATCCTCGCTACCAAGGAGACTGGAAAATTCAGCGGGCAGTCTCAGCCTCACAGGTTTCTAGGGGTTTTAGGGGTTCAGGTTCTGAGGGGGTAAGGGGGTTTAGGGGTTCAGGTTCTTTGCGGTTTAGGGGTTTAGGTTCTTAGGGGTTTAGGGATTCAGGTTGTTAGGGTTTGTCTCTCCAATGCCCGGAGATGGCCGTAGCTGGAACCCAACCTCCCAGGGCAGAGAATAGCCAAATGGAGCCATGGTTGGCGCAGTGTTGGCTGAGGGATAGCCCTAAAGCCCTAGGGCAGAACCTAAAGCCTAAAACCCACAAACCCCAAATCTGAACACCTTCTGAAGCCGCGCACGTCGGATGTCTCAGGCTTCGTAAAAGGCCCGATTGAAGTAGAATGGATAGTTTCTGTATGCTTTCACATGGGGGAATTGTCGAGATAGTCTTAAACCCTAAACCCTTCACCCACCCGAAACCCGAACCAAGCACTTCAAACCCTCCAGGACCTTCTCGGCCATTGAAAGAGGCAAAGACATAGCCACAATCTCCGAGATCCTCCGATCCTGTAGGCAGGGGAGAGGCCACACCATGATCCAAGAACCCTAAACCCTAAACGGCCCTAAACCCGAAAACCCTGAACTTCCTAAACCGAACCTTATGCGCGAAAGAGCATCGACCTCTGCGCAAGGCTCGAAGGTCAGCTTTCCCTGAAGTCCGGGCCCTGAACTGAAACTCAGAATTCAGTGGCAACTCCAAAAATGGTACATCTGGCCCTAGGGCTTTACTACTTAAGGCCTGATGTTGAATCCGGACACCTCCGAAAAGCGGCACCCTGAACTGTACATCCTCGGAACCCTAAAGAGGCAGCGCGGTCCTTGGTATAAGACTCGAACCGCATCTCCGGAGCGCAGCGGCCACAGGGAGACCTCCCCGGGTTCTGGGGGCGGTGCGGTAGTCTTTTGAAAGCTGTTTCGGGGTCTCTAGGGGTGCGGTTTGGGGCTCCCTGACAAAGCCTGGGGGACCAGATCGGTCGGGTGGATACGCAGCGTTGGAACCATGCCCACAGCCTCAATGCGATGTCACAGCCTCAGTACGATGTATCCATGAAGTTCTGACCTTCTATTCGCGGTCGCGCTGCTGGAATTGCAAAAGCCGAAACTCTAAGCCTCCTTGTTGCTGCTACCAATACTGGATGAAAATGATTTATGATAGTACCACTATTGTTAGTACTGTTTTGGTTGTTGCTGTAAATGTTGTCATAGACTCTGACAGACCCTAGCTCGAGATGGGTATTTCAGAAGGGTCCAGAGGAGACTCTGTAGAAATGCTTCGTGCCTGATTTCACATCCCGACTAAAGCCAATAAGTCCTACACCCCAATCCCTATGAGCTTCCCCTTGCACGATTACAACGCTAGCCACAAGTACCTTAAGTGCTCGGCCCTAGGTCCCCAAACCCCGGAACCCTTAACACCTTCTAAGCCCCTAAATCCCAAGAAGCCCAAAACTTGAATGCCCGAACCCCGAATTCTGGATCCTCAAATCCTCTAAACCCTAGACCCTACACCCTATAAGCCCCTATAGCCCCTAAGAGCCCGAACCCGAGCCGCACAGAAAGAAGCCCCACTCGCGCCTCGCGTCCCAAGTTCTCGGGCTCGAGGACGTCCCGCAAAACGAAGGCGAGGGTGCCCCTTTCGGGGTATTAGGGTTTAGGGTTTAGGGTAGTAGTGCTACTAGAGGAGTAGCCTAGGAACAAAAAGGGTACCCTTTTGGTTTTGAGGGGATTATAAGGGAACCCCAACCCTAACAAAGGAATAAGGGCCTACTCCCGGTCCTAGGCTACCAGCAATTATCGGTAAAGCTGTATGAACAATGATGAAACCAGGTTGTACTGTTCTTACATATCATGAATTCGATAATTTGTTGTTACTAAATAGTATGAACCAAGTAGTTCTAGTTAAATGTTTCAACTGTTCTTGATTGTGGTGAGTACAATGTAGTTGTGAAGAATGATGCTTACCTAAGTTTTGTATTAAGAACTGTGACTATCACCGTTTTTGTTGTTTAAGTACCCTCATGATTCCTTGTGATTGTTGATGATTAGCTATTCCCAGATACGTTTCTTGCTAATTCCTATTCCTACATGATTATCACGAATATGAGAAATCCTATTGATATCATCATCATTTTTCTCAACTAGCATGAACAGTACTTGTTTGTTCTTGGCTGTTTTGTCTACAATGGGCCTCTAGAATAAGCTCAGACCCCAAACCCTGCAAGGGATCAATTTGGGGCTCGGGCTTTGGGGAATTTGGGACTGTAGGGCCTTGTCAACTCTACGCCGCAAGGCTTCTTTTTTGCCTTTCTTGGGGCCGCAAACGTCACCACCCTGAGCCATCGAAATCCGAAACGCAGAAGCCCTTGGTGTGAGGTTCTCTTCCTGCTTTAATTTTGCACGGAGTAGCAAACGAACATTGTTGGTGACACTTTGGGTGCTATAGTTGCTATAGGCACAACATAACATACATGTCAATCCAAACTAAACCTCTTGCCTGCTTCGCGAGCTGGGACTCGCCTTCTCACCTGCGACAGGCAGAGGATCTGCTTCTGAATCTGTCAGGTTTGTCCATGGCTCATGAGGGGGTTTCGACAACAAGGAACCCCTATAATAGACGCCCAAATAGTAGGATTCCCCTTATAATCACAAGAAGGTCAACCTACAATCGTAAACCCCCATGATGCTCTAAGAGGCACAGCGCGCTGGAAAGGCCTTCGTGGGCTGCGCTCAGGTCGAAGAGGCTCCGCAGCTCCTTGTCATCCAGGCGGCTCTCAGGCTCTTCCCTTCCTTCTCTTGGGTGCTCCTCGGAGCCATCGGAGCGGGAGGGAGCTTTGAAATTGTCCAAGAACTTGCCGGGCTTGCCCTTGCCACCCCGCTCACCTTTCTGGCCCTTGTGGCCCTTCTGGCCCTTGCCCTCCTCGTGTCGGCGGAGAGGACGGGGCTGCTGCCAGGAGAGTGAGCTCTCCCGCTCGAGCTGCTGGTCTAACTGGAAAAGGTGCACTGCTGGGCCAGCTGGGAACCCATTCACTTCTGGGTAGAGCTGGGTACAACACTTCTGATCGCAGCCCAGGCCCGAAAGTGCCTCACAGAAGATATGGGTGGAGCTGTCTGGCACACGGGTGCCCCCCGCCCGGAGGCCGGCAAAGCTTGCCCAGGGATCCTCTTCCGGACTCTCTGAGGCAGTTCCCAAACCCTGACGGATCTTTTGTAGCTCCGCCTCGGTCCTCTTCAGGAAGTTGCGTATGAAGCCTGGCCGGCCTTCACCGATACGATTGTAGCCCAGGCGGAGCCAGAGAGGAACCTTCTTGTTCTGCCGAAGGGCAGGGTAGCGCACGGCATTTGTACCGGACTGCTCGAGCTCTGAGGGGCTTTGCATGGCCCGTACAGCGGCTTCGAGCAAGGTTCGGGCACCGGGCTCCCCAATCTGGTTGTTCGTGAGGCTGAGCTCGAACAACGTGTGCGAAGAATGCTGCAGGTACTGGGCCAAGGCATCAGCAGCCTCATCCGCCAGCAGGTTGTGATGAAGACTCAAGGCCTCCACTGGCACCTCGAGCTCCTGAAGCATGTCCAAGAGCAGCTGAAGGCCCTGAGCCGTGATTTTGTTGAAGCCAAGGTCGATCAAGATCACCACCGCGCTACTGGGGAGCCGAGCCAGTTTGGGCCGGGCCCAGCGGCACCAATGCTGCAGCGCCACGTCGTCCAGGTTCCGGCGGCTCAGCAGCACCTTGTACTGCCGGCCGTCGCCTTCCAGCTGCAAGGATCCCTGCCAGGAGCTTTGGACAGTCTTGCTCGGGTAGCCGGACCGCTCATATCTCTCATATCTCTCAGAGCCCTTGCCAAGGCCTTCTCTTCCCTTGCCCTTTGCCATGTCGTAGACCCGAAGGCCGCGGTTGGCGGCCTGAGCCCGTCGCCTCTGGAGCTCGGCCTCGGCTTTCTGCCAGAGATCCTCCAGACCTTTGCCTTCAGACGAAATCTGCTCAGACTCCGCTTTGTCTGCTTTGCACTCACGTCTCCTGTCACTTCTCTCCGAGAGAATCCGCTCTGCGCGCTCCGCCCTTCGCGGGGCGGGCTCTGCAGCCTCCCTGGCCTCACGGCCCTCGCGGAGCTTGTTGTAGCGGTCCCAGGACCGCTGGCCACGCTCCTCCTCCACCTTCTTCCACAAATCCAAGTCGTCACACCGAAGGTTGCTGCCTTCCGGTGTGCGCTCCGGATCCATCAGGTGATCCATCTCCCCCACATCGGACAGCTCGGCCATTGTCACCCCTCGAGTCAAATTTGAACGTTTCGAAGGTGCAGCATGAGTTGGAAGCCGCTGGCGTGGACGACGCTACAGCGAATCTGTTGTGTTAGAGTCCTCTGGGTCCTTAGGGTCCTTAGCATCCTGTGATGCCTCTGTGACTGTGCAGTTTTTCTGTCGCTGCGGGTTCCAGTCTATGTTGCTGCAACTGTGCAAGTCAAGGACACTGGACATGATTGTCACGGTACTCAGGAACAGCTTGTCTAGTGCAATCGGGCATGTCTTTGCCTACCCTGAGTTCCTTCGTCGCGAGCGGCAAGTTCTTCGTGGCATGACCTTTCCTCTTAGTCCTACTTCTTAAGCTTGCTCTGCCATTCCACTGCTGTCTTACCACTACAACTACCACGAAGACGCTCCCTTTGATGCGCTCGTCTTTGAAATTCGCTCAGGCTTCCCACAGCACGATGCCTCCTCCGCTTCTTTGGCTCGTCTCGCCTCTTCCTCTCGCTGCCGTCTTCGCTCCTGCTCCTGCGCCCAGCCCCCGGAGAAAAGAAGAAAACAACTTCCGCTCCTCAAACCCTAACCTCCCCGTCCCCCCCCCGCCCCTCCCCCAAACCCTAAACCCTAAACCCTAAACCCTAAACCCTACACCCTAAACCCTAAACCCCCCCCCTCCCCGGAACGTCCCCAAGGCAGGAGAGCCTCCTGAATTCGCCGAGCCTCCTCCTGTCGTCTGCGCTGCTCCTCCTGCAAGCGATGAGCTCGTCTCTCCGTGGGGGGAAACTTTACTCGGTCAAAGGCAAGTGTAGGGTTCATTTTGGGAAGCTTCTATTCGGTTTAGGGGTAAGTGCAAGGTTTAGGAAGTTTGAGACGAAAGCTTCGGTGCTGGATTACAGGGGGGGGGGGGACATCTTCCTCTCACCACCCTACCCCCTAACCACCCTTAAACCCTGAAACCCAAACATCAAACCCTAAACCCGAACCTCCGCCCCCCTCCATGATTCACGACGTGTCGCGACCTCAGCCTGCTTTCGCTTCTTCTCCTCCTCCTTCAGCAGCTTCGGGTTTACGTCGCTTGTACAGGGTAGAGTATAAATGATAGTATAGGTTTTAAACATGGTCTGAGCAGCAGCTTAGGGTGTATGGCACTTATACGGGGCAGGTTGTTTATAGGGTTTTTACAGGGTTTTGCATTGGCTTAAACGGGCTATAATGGGTTTAAGTATGGGCTTGGGGTTTAGGAGTTTCCACCTTCTAGGAAGCACTGAAACAAAGGCACTGCTCCACCCTAAACCCTGAGCACCCTGTACATCCTGTACAGCCTATATACCCTACAAACCCTATAAACCCTGTAAACCCTACCCTAAACCCTGAACCCTACACCCTACGCCCTAAACCTTAAACCATGTAGCGATCTTGCCGGCTATTTTCGTGACCTTGTAATGACCTTGCCCGCTATTTTTGTACCTTGTAGTGACCTTGTCCGCGATTGTTACGAGCTTGCCCGATTTTTGTCATAAAAATAGGGCAGGGTCACTACAAGGTCATAACCCCCCCCCCCCCCCCCCCCCCCCCTTCCCCTCTCCCCTCCTTCCCCCCACTCAGGGTAGGGCTTAAGGACATTTAGGGCTTCATGGCCGAGTGTTCGGAGTTTAGGGCTTGGGGTTTTGGGTTGTGTGCGAAACTTTTCAATGTCTTAATGGTCTGGGGTTCTCTTGGGTACTTTTCGGGCGCCTGAAAAGCTGCTAAACTAGTGAGTGCTTGAACTTGAGATGTTGAACACTGAGCCCTAAACCCTAAACCCTAAACCCTAAACCCTAAAACTCTAAACCCTAAACCCCAAATCCTAAAACCCTGAGCCAAGTCTTGCCTGGCGCCTCTTTGCTTCGAGCCTCTGCTGTGCTCCGAGCTTGGCAGCATGCCATGGTATGCATGTCGGGTTTGGGGGTTTAGGGTTTCGGGTTTCGGGTTTAGGGTTTAGGGTTCGGGGTTTAGGGTTTGGGGTTTAGGGTTTGGGGTTTAGGGTATGGGTGTGTAGGGTTTCGGGCTTCCGGGCACACCGACAGAAGTTTGGCACATGAACTTGTGCTTGAGCACATGTTTGATTCATGACATGTGATACAATGTCAATGCAACACTTGCAAGCGTACGATATATCATGGTCCACGACCTCTGCAATCACACGCTCGTGACTGCAGGACCTTGCTCAGCATCCACCGGAAACACCACAATCACCCTCCGCATCACGCAGCTGCTGCCGAAGGGCTCCAGGGACTTCTGAGCTTCAGCGGCTCTCCTGCCGAAGATGCTGGGTCTGGGAGGTTGTGGGCTGAGGTCTCTTATTTCACGGTTGAGAGCTTGGGGCTCAGGTCTTAGAGGCTTCGGGTTGGGGTTTGGAGGTTCGACTTCCACACCGTTGCCACTGTGGTGCCAGCCTTCAGCACATCAAGACCCTGCGTGCTGCCAACTACCTACCATTTGATTCAGAATCCAAGAGTGACAACTCAGATCGTCAGGTTATCTCCAAACCTCCGACTTCTCCTCTAGAGCACCCTAACCCTAAACCCTAAACCCCAAACCCCAAACCCTAAACCCTAAAGACCTAAGCCATACAAGCCCTAAACGGCCGGCATGTGCACCTCTGGTCTGCTTGCTGCGCCTCCGCAGCCGAACCTTGGGCGGCAGGCCGAAAGTTCAAGTACTCAAACCTAAACTAAAGCAAGCCTAAACCCTAAACCCTAAACCCTAAACCCTGGGTTTAGGGTTTAGGGCTTAGGTAGGTTTGTTTCAGGGGGTTCAGGTGTGTAGGGTGTCTGGGATTTCAGGAGGCCAGGACTTTGCAAGAGAAAAAACCCTAAGCCTGCCCGAAACTACTGCTTTTCGCAATATTGTGCATCATGTTGGTATTGTGACTATTGGTTTTGTTCTTGTCATTGTTGTCGTTGAATTGATATTGAAACGGTTCATCATCATCATCATCATCATCATCATCATCATCATCATCATCGTGTTAGTAGGTATACAATCCTTGCTGAACCCGAAACCTGCTGTCCGTAGGTCACCAAACCCCAAAACCCCGAAACATCCGCGCTGACGTGCGGGAAGGGGGCGGTTTTGGGAGACCGGCCTGGCGAAGGAAGATTCTAGGGCTTCAGTCGGGAGTTAAGGGAGTTAATCTATGGCGCTTGAAGGGCTGTATGGAGTTTATAGGGCTTGGCGGTCTGGATCACGGGATATCGCGGGCTCCATCTTGCAATTTTGGGCTCAACTGCAAGGCACAGGTTGCTTGTTTCGAAGGGCTTACGAGCGAGAACAAGCATCAGGAAGTTCAGCTCCCTTTCAGGGAGCACTGTAGACTAGGGCATCCTTGGTCCAAGCCTGGTTCCTGTTCATGCAAAGTGGCCCACCAGCTACAGGCCATCCCCTGAGTGTGCCAAACACTAAGCATTGAGATCCCAAGCCTGAAATCTCAAAAGCACAACTTCCCCGTTGTCACAAAGCCCGAACTCCCAAACTCGCAAAATGCATTGAAAGGGCCTTCCTTGACCCCAAGATCCCACAAACTCAAGCTGAACGAAACGGACCTCGCCTGTGGACGTCGGAAGCCTCGCAATTTTCGCACCGCACACCAAGCCCCCCCCCCCCCCCCCCTTCCTGGAAAGCCAAAGCTGGGCCTCAGTCCGCAATTTGGGCTGCGGCTTAGCCCTTGTCTCGGGAAACTCTCCGGCAAAATGGTCCAAGCCCACAACTTGCACAAAGCCCAAGCTGTGAGCGGAACAGGCCTGCGATGCTCGATGCCTCTCCAGCGTTTCCTGAACCACCTCTGGGCACTTGAGCATTTTGCACATCTACTTGCAGCCGGCAATGCAGGAATGGGTGTAGGGGGCAATGTGGGGGGGTTGGGGGATGGGGGGGGGGAACCCAAGCCAACCTCCCCTGGTGTAATGAAGCCAAACCGAAGCCAACGCCATCCTTCAAGGGCCGACCACGGTTTGGCCACGCCAAATCAACAGCCCAGCCAAAGCCGGAATGGCAAGACCTCATTGCTCGTCCATGGTTGGAGATGTTTGCAGTGGTTGCCACCGTGGGCTTGCCAACTCTTTTTCAGAAAAACCCGCATGGCAGAGTAGTTGCAGAAACGCAGGGTGTTGGCCAACGTGGCATTGTTTCGTGGCGCATCGGGTTCGCGATCCTCATCACTGGAGTCGTTGCTCGTCGTTGTGTGTCAATGAAAGTCTCTCCCCGTTTACCGCACGAGGCTTTCTTTAGGCCTCCCTTGATGCCAGTACATCACGCTCCGTTGAGGTAAGGCTGCCCACCTGGTCCATGCTGGCAACGCCCTCCGCTTGGTCTTCTTGCGGCCGCTCCTCGCGAGCAGTTGGGGACCCAGGGCTGAGGGTTTAGGGCTTAGGGTTTAGGGTCAGGCGCGGTGACTATGTGGACATCCGCTGGGGTACTTTGCCGAGTGTTTGTGACGGCGCCCTGTGACCCAAAGCCTAGAAAACATCCGCCCGACCGAGTCATACCCGTTCTGGGATGACTGTGCAGCCGGTGCCTTCTTGGGGCAACTAATGCTCTAAGGGTACTGACTAAATAGTGACAAGGGTACTGATGAAAGGTTAAACCTTGAGCCGCAAACAAAGCATTGGACACACGGAAAAACCGGTTGGATCAAATAGCAACAAAACAGAAAATAACAGCTATCTCTCAAGTATGCCCCGGAGGACATGTTCCAGAATGCTGACAGTTCCCGTGCTGCCCAAGGTTTTGAGGCACAATAGCATGCCTTCTTGCAAAGTATAAGTAACCTTCCGGTGACCTCCTCTCCCTGGTGAGACGAGCCTTATCGAAAGCAGGCTGAAGTAGGACACCATGCTGAGGGTGTCGGCCTGTCTTTGCAGAGGCTGCCAGTAGACTCAGTAGACATGTGCAGGTGCAACGGTATCATGTCGTCATGCACGCCACGGCGAAGGCAGCGCGTATGGCTTTTATCCAGGCATGCATGATACAGCAAGCGCTTGGACCTGTCATCAGTTCAGAAAGGCATGAGGAAAGTCTGCTTTAGCTGGGCAGCCTAGAGGCTTTCTCAGCCAAGTTGGGCAGCCTCCGGCTTGGTGCTGGATGCAAATCGGCTTTGGACTCACACCAAGACTCACAAAGACAACTCCCTGCGACGTCTCGCCTTGAGCCGTGAAACATGAAAAAAAGGGGGGAGAGCGAGAATCTGTCAGAGAACGCCCATCTTGCACTTCTACGGCGACATGGTGACTTGCGCGGGGATTTCTGGCCCATAGTCGCCGAGGCCCTTGATGCCGGTGAACTTCAGGAGCAGGTCTTGGTTCGACGTGAATGTGACACGTGTCTGTGGCATGACATGCGTGCTACACGAAGTTATGCCGACAGCATACAGACGACGTCAAATGCCGATCAAGTTTTGGATTAGTACCTGTGCCGATACCGACAACATTCATACACATGCAGAGTTGTACGATATCGCATGCTACATGTGATGTTCAGCATGTATGTGTACAGTAGGCCCAGTAGGCTTAAACTTCGGCACAGTTCTGTGACGGAGAGGACGTGATGTGAGTATATGTGCATGTGGGACAACACTGGCATATCTCAGCATCCGGAGGACAGGCGAAAACAGCCGAGTGGCTTGGCATGAACATGGCAGGTCCTTCGCCTTCCGCCGGTCCACCACAGCTGCCACATGCCTTTGAGCACCCAGGCACGCAGCACCAGCAGCAAGGAGGCGGGCAACATGGATAACCTCCGCCGCAAGGCATGCAGCAGCAAGCCTTTGCCTCGTTCATGGTTGGGATAACATTAAAGATGTAACATGTCTATTCCTTATAGGGTTTAAGTACCCTTACACATGCAAAATGGTACCCAACTATGACAAAGTTGCGGGTCCTGGGAGGCCGCTCCAAATCATGTAGCCACCCTGGCCGTGGCCAATCTTCACGTTAGCCGGGTGTGGGGACTCACTCTTGTAAACGAAGGGGCCCGGCTGCTTGTTATCCAAAATGGCCATGGCTTGCTTAGCACAGTGTTTGGCTGCTGCCTGAATAGTTTGAAAGACTGGGTGCCCGGGGAACTTCTTGTTGCCCACATTCACGGCGAAGACTTCCGGGTGGACGGAGGACTGGAGGTAGTCGTTGACCATCAGGGCGCCTCGTGCGTCCAGCATCGGGGACGATGAACGCATGAAGCCGGTGTTGGGACCCGGGGAGTAGCAGGGGATGTAGACATCGAAGTCAAGCGCCTCGCCGTTGTCAAGCTGAAAGGAGCCGGGGCTCAGAGAAGGCTCCTGAGACTTCGGGTCTGCAATGCTTCCTTGCTTCAACTCGATCTTGTATTTGGTGGTTAGGATCTCTGTCACCTTGGCAACCATCTGGGGATCCGGCTTCTCAGACTTCTCGCCGTAGTCTGTGTCCAGGACCTTCCCCGAACGGGAGAGTAGAATCACTCGGGCGCCATAGCCATTCTTCGCCCGAAAGTCCCCGCACATCTCAAGACCCACCAGCCCGGCACCGTTGAAGACGACGGTCTTCGCCTTCTTCAAGGCACTTCCGCACGCCTGCACTTCTGAGATTCGCTCGGACAAAGTCATCCCAGGCGTCGGGCAAATCAGGGGGCACTTCTGCCCGGTAGCCACGATGACGATTTTGTAGGAAAGGACGGCTCCTGCATTCGGCCCTGTGTTCATGAGTGTGATCTCCTTCTTGTCGCAGTCCAGGCACTCCACTGAGCTTAAGAAGACCTCCACGTTGTCCCATTTCGGCTTCCACTTCTGCGGGTCACCCGAGGTCCACTTCACGTGCTCCTCCGGGGAGTTCAAGAACATCGCGGCGGCCATGGCCTGCTCTTGGAAGCTGAAACCGTTGATGTAGGCCACGGGCCGCTTGCTCTTTGCCAAAACCTCAGCTGCGGCCATGGCGGCCGGGCCTGCTCCGATCACCGCGATGTCGAAAGCCTTGGCCATGGTTTGGTAGATTCCTACAAGGGCCAAGGGCAGCAATGGCGTGGTTCTTCGGGTTCTACGATCTTCTACGAACTTCTACGACTCGAGGATCGTGGCCACAGTATGCTCGTGGTCGTCATGCGCTGTTGCAAGGCCGAAGGCTTTGTGGGCTCAAGGCACTCTGGGATTCACAAGAAAAAAGCAGCCAAAAGCAGGATGGGAGGACTCAGCATCCATCCGCCATCTCCTTCTAGTCTGAGCCAGCCCGAGTACGTCTGCGTCCTGAGTTTTCTTCAACTCGCAAGCCGACATCAGCCAGAAGCTCGGGTAGAATCTCCTATGTCTTGGGCCTCCCCCGAATGACACCAACCATACTAACCCATCTCACCCACAAAGTCCTCCGAACCTGGAGACCTCCCTAAACCCTAAACCCTAAGCCCTAAACCTTTGCATAGTTGGAAGAAACCCTGTGTCCGAGAGCCCCACTCTGCCAGAACGACCTGCAGTCAACGGCTTTGGAGAATGTTTGAAGATGTTGCAGGCTTCATACAATGTATAACATACAATATGATGTGTACATGTATATGATATGATATCATGCAATATGGCAGAAAATGTGTATGTCATATGGTCGAGTTTATTGTCCAAAGACCTATAAACCCGATAAAGCCGGGAGAGAAGCGATGCTTTTCCTCCCAGCCTTCTGTTGAAAACTGATCACACGTCTCCAAGGTCAAAGCCCTAACCCTAAACCCTAAACCCTTAAACCCTTAAACCCCTAATGCCCAACAAAAAGAAACCCAAGCTCCAAGCACTGGAAGATGGACTCCCGCCTCTCCCAGACGCCGTGCACTGATGATGTTGGCATCAGTGGATGGCGCAGCTCGCACAGCAACGCTTGGGCTGAAAATCACCTGCAGTAGGGTTTAGGGTTTAGGGTTTAAGGTTTAGGGTTTAGGGTTTAGGGTGTAGGATTTAGGGTTTAGGGTGCTCTCATCCAAGAGCCCCTTTTTTGGGAACACCCCGGTCTTTCTCGTCGCCCTCTCATGTTTCTTAGCATCCTGAACCCCCCCATTGAACCTCCATTCCCGTCAAAGCAGCCTTCGCTCTTCAACCCGAGGCCACCAAATTCGAACCTTCCATTTTCATGGGTTTCTATCCATGCCCAGACAAGCTGAGAACTTGAATCTAAAAGTATGTGCTTCCAAATATATCATACTGAAATTGCAAAGTTACTCGTCTACGCAAGCCGTCGCTGCGCAACGCTGCGTCTCCAAAAAGGTTCCAAAAACACCGAGTTTCCACAAATATCCTAGATGCCTTGGATGCACTTTATGGGAGCCAATGCACAACTTCTATAAACCCTAAACCCAACATCTAACTTGACAAGCACCCTGAACCCTTTTCACCTAAACCCTAAACCCTAAACCCTAAACCCTAAACCCTAAACCCTCGACCCTAAACCCTAAACCCTAAACCCTAAACCCTAACCCCTACAGGTAGCGGGGCCTTGAAGGGTTGCGGCCCCGGGCCGGGAGCGGGAGCATCGGCGGCGAGGATCAGCTCAGGCTGGCCCGGAAGGCGCCGCAGGAGCCTTTGAAGTGGAGGAGTTGAGGGGGGTGAAGATGCTTGATAAGATTTAGGGTTTAGGGTTTAGGGTTTAGGGTTTGGGGTTTGGGGTTTGGGGTTTGGGGTTTGGGGTTTGGGGTTTAGGGTCTAGGGTTCAGGGTTTGAGGTTCTGTTCTTTGGAGAGCTTATGACCGGACTTTCAGCAGCTAGAGCTGGCATGATTCGCACGGCTGGGCTTAAGCGGAAGCTTGGTGGTTTCCACCTTGCGCCAGCACCCCCGACGTCAGGGAGGCAACATGAGGCATTCCCAGTCATGGAACAGCAGCCCTTAACAACCGCTTTGTTGGGTTGCTTTGCAACCTGGTTAACCAGGTGATGAAGTGCTGCCCCACTGGGATGATCACGAAATCAAGTGGCGGGCTGCTGCACCCCTAACCCGCTTAGGCCTGCAAAGGCCAAACTAACTCCTAAACATCCGAACCCCAAACCTAAACCCCAAACCCTTCCCCGTGGCTGCCGAAAAAAAAAAGAAGTATCTGAGGTGGCCCACACGCCAAGTCCCAGCTTGCCCTGGCAATCCTCCATGGTGTGCTTGAGTCTCCATTTGAGAGGGCATGGGGGCTCGGAGTTTCGGGTTTGGGCTTCGGGGGCCAATGTGAAGAGAACAGCTCTTTGGGGTAGTTTGCAAATGTTTGCAACATAACTTTAAATTCGGGAAGGGATAGCCTTCGTGACTACTAAGTACCTAATTTATGAGAGTTTAGGAGCTCAAGGGGACCTAGAGGGGGACGTTGGATATAAGGTCGCAGATAGAGGCTTCAGATCATCCAAAAACAGCGCAAGCCTTCACTGATTCAGCAGTTCAACCCTGTCATCCCTCAAGGTTAGAGTCTTCCAGGAGATTTGGGTTCCTGCAATACCAAAAAAATTTGGGTTTCCAAAAATAGGCGTAACCCAAACCCAAAATAGCCTAATCCTTCTTGTAGGAACCCCCAAAAGGGCACCCCCTATTTTCGGAAACCCCCATATTTCTTTGGAGCAGCAGAATGCAGGATTTGGCCTTCGCGCACCAGCCCTCCTGACCGGATAGATCGTGAGAGGTGTAGGTGTGTGTGTGTGTGGGTGGGGGGGTGCAGAGAGGCTTGGGGTAACCTGTTCCGGACCCGTTGAGCAGGCTACGTTGAAAACATGGCAACTGCTTTTCGTAGCAGGGCGCTTCTATCCTTGCCCGTGCTGGCCAGCTTCGGATAGTTACTGCTCAGGTATGTTAGTCACATGCTGCGCATGCTATCTGCGCCAAGAATATCATCAGTAAGGACTCCTGCTTGTAATGTTGCAGTTGGCTGCTCGAAGCCTCTCCCGAAATCAATTGGCTGCTAGGGGGTTACACTTCAAGACGCAGTGCCCATACGAACACAGGGACCCTTATATAGACCCCATAATAGTAGGATCCCTTTGAAATAAGGACCCCAAGAATGTACCGCTAATTTCGTAAACCGCCATGTGTCTCTCCAACAGGCCTCACCGTGTAGCTTGAGGAAGCCGTCGAAAGTCTCTTCCGCGCTTTGCACGACCTCGCCGCGGTCCTGAAACAATTCAACAGTGGCAAAGTGTGGAGTGTTGGAGTTGGGATTAGGGTCAGGATTGAGCTTTGGAGGGTTTGAGTCTTTGAACTGGCTCTCAATATCTGATGCTTCAACTCCGAAAAATCGCAGTTTACTTACTTTTCTGTTTTGGAGTTTGAGGTTCAGGGTAAGGGGGACGGTGGGATGCCAACCGCTGTGACTTGACCGGAAATGTAAGCCCCATTTTGACGTCTGGTATCGTAAACGATACCCGATAGATGACGAGGAAGACAACTTTTGAAACCTCTGACTACCCTAAACCCAAACCCCAAACCCTAAACAAACAAACCGAAATCAACTCAAGCCAGCGTTGCGCAACACCAAGCCCGATGGCTCCTAAAACGGCAGTTCCCCGATCTTCCCGGTCTGATTCTCGACCCACTTGTAGTGACTTCTAAGATTCCGGAACCCCAAGCCCTCTCTTTATATAGTAGTGACATGAAAATGAAAATGAAAATAAGAAGGAAATGCAATGACCAGAAAACAGTGTACACATACCCCAGAAGCCGAGTGCAGAAATTCATTGCCGGCCTTTCGCGCAAGGGCGCGTGCAGCAAGCGACGGCTTCTCGCGAACCATAGCGAGGTCGTTTACGACCTGCCGTCCGCTTGGAGGTTGAGCAGGGCTCAAGGTCTGTTGCATTTTGAGGGTTTTTCCAGCATTTGCAACACTACCCCTGAGCCAACAATTCCTGGGAAGCGGGAAGCCGGGTTCAAGTTGTCCCCTAAAGGAAAGCCTCATCAGGCTGAAGCTCGAAAGCTAAAAGCTATCTTCAAAAAATCTTAGGTCCCTGAAACAACAATCCAAGAACCACCCGAAGCGCCAACAACATCTTAAATACCTCAGCCCCACGCCTCCTCTCCGCCAACAAAAGACGAGAAAAAAAAAGAAAACCTGAAGGGGCGCCTCCCAACGCTGGACCGGCAGATTCTGCGGATTTCGCTCGATCTGCGGCTTGGGAGGCTCCTGGCATCACTGGCTCAGAAAAGATGGATCCGTCGGACGTTTCATGTGCGCCATGTGGAACCAGTGCACCGACAGAGTCTCAGCGCCTGCCCCTCCCTCCAAAATCACCACAAGGACCATAAGACTAGAGAACCTATAAGGGTGTTTCTCAAAATAGGATTCCGGTAGTATACCCCAATATACTATAGTCCTTATAATAGGAACCCCCAAAAGGGGGTACCTTTTTGGGACACCCCCCATAAGCATTGAATTGTATGCGACACAAGCAAGTCGCTTGAAATATTCTGCCTCCAGATCCACTCGTTGTTTCAGCGCCGCGATGGTGTCCGTGGCGAAGATCTTCTGGCCGGCGCTCCGCAGCCTGCCCCGGATCTTTTGGGGTTTAGGCTTTAGGGTTTCGGATTTAGGGCTCAGGGTTGAAGATTTAGGGCTTAGGGTTTAGGCGTAGGGTTTGGGCTGTTCCAGATATATAGGCCCCTAAACCCTAAACCACGTCTCGAGACGGTTTTTGAGAACACACGTTTTCAGATCGCAGATGGCTCGATGATGCAGCATCCTCCAGCCTCTCGTTCAAGGATGCAGCGCCCTGGGCTGTGTTGCGAGGGTTAAGCACGGCAGTACGCGATAAAGGGGCTTAGGGTTCAGAATGTTGCGGTAAAGTGTTGTTTCAGAGGCCCCACAGATCCTTACAGTCAAGATCAACACCCGCATCCACCTCAGACCTCAGAAATTCCTAGGTACCAAGGACCAGAGCCACTCTAGAACCTCTCGAAGTATCGCTTTCATTCCGATGGTTGAGAATAAAGCTCTCTCTTTCGCCGAGATGGCCGATGACTGAGATGATGGCAGTGCTTCGCAGGGAATCGCGCAAGTGCTCGAAGGTGGAGACCTTGGTATCTTCACAACTGGCACAACTTGAGTGATCCTCAAAATCCTGAACTGAACTCTTCAGCTGGAGTTACATAGCTCCCGCAGAACCTGACAGAACCCAAATCATCCCAATCCCCCAGCCCGGCCCAGCCTTTGCTTTGGAGAGCTTCTCGACCACGTTGCTCAAGTCCTTTTCCGTCCAGGAAGGCTTCGCAGCCTGGAATCTGAGCCCCACCATGCACTGAGGCATCCTAAGCCACGATATTGGTCACTTTTCACTCTCCACAGAGCGAGGGGTTTTGGGGATTTGAGGTTTAGGGTTTCGGGTTCGAAGGGTTTGAGGGATCTAAAGCCTCAAGCCTACGCAGCCATATGTCCCCGAGGCCCCCCTGCTACTGGGGACCTGAAAGTTGGTTGGGGCGCTGTTGGTTTACAGGGCTTGGTCGGGCCCATAATCGGGCTTACACTCTAGGGCTCTAGGGTACAAGCATTGAGCCTGTAAGACGTCGCGCAGTTTCGGCGGCGGCCGAATGGGCGTGGCCGGAGTGGGTGCCGTCTGTGGCCGTGGGCCTTGCTCTGACTGTTAGAGTTTCCATGGCTACGAGGATACATTCGGATACATGACCACCCTTAGACCCCCTTTAAGGGGTCCAAAATGGGAACTGGGCGGCCGGCATGCCTTGCGAGCAGAATATGCTATCCTTTGTATGTATTCTCTGGGCTTTGTAAGAAATTCTATACATGCCACAGCACGAGACGCCAACAATGCAAGAGATAACGCGCAAGCTTTCTCTGGGCTGCTTGAGGGCTTTCGGGCCCTAGCTTGTGTCCATGTGTCCATGGTATTCCATGGTATTCCATGGTTTCCCCCAGATTCTCCCTTGGTCGCTCCTTTCCGAGCACCTGTTTTGAGCTCTTCCAGTTTGGGGGCTCTTCCTTCGGTCTACGCAGTCATTGCCCATCTGGCCCCTGTCGAGTGCTTCACCCACGTAGCATGAAGCGAGATTCCCCCATTCCTTATGACTTGTCAGATATCGGTGCGCTCTCAGAGACTGGCGAGGTTGCGCAGGCGCTGAGGCCACGGAGGGCGGGGCCGCGGAAGCCGCGGCAGCCGGGGAAGGCGTGGCTTTTGCTTTTGGGCTCGGCGTGGGCGAGGCTGGCACTGTCGCCTGGCACGGCTCAGGGCTTATAAGGACAGTTGGGGAGGGTCCCTCTCCCTCTCCCTCTCCCTCGCTCTCGCAACCGAAGCCGCAAAACTGCAAAGCCTCAACCTCACCATTCTTCCAGGAGCCAAGCGAACTCGAGCCTTTGCCGGGGCGGCAGGAGCAGCCGACCCTGACATGGAGGAATGGTTGCCATGACCATCATCAATACTGTTGAAGAACGATGTCCCTGCCACTAGGAGCACTGAAGATATCAAAGTTGGACATCAGCGGAATCATGGGCATGTGGCCTGGTATCCTCTCCACGTTCTTGGCCTGAACGCCGGCCATCCGTAAGGGCAGGGTTGCAGGGATCGTGCTGGTTTGCAATGGTTTGGGGCCTTGTGGCTCGGGGTCTGACTTCAATGTGGCCACAATCCCCTTGATCGTGAGACGCTTCTCTGCGGCCTTCATCAGCTTGTCCCCGCCGGCATCTAGCCGAATGTGGTACCTGCCCAGGGTCACTGAAGGCCTTCACCTCATTTTGCCTCAACTCTTTGCCCTCTGCTCTTTTCTGAGGCTTGGGAACACAAGGTCTGACGCGCTTGTTTTGCTGGCCGCCCATTCTGCTCAGGCTGCCCACCACCACCAATTCTTTGTCTCCAGCCTCTGCAGGAATGGTCATGCTTGGGGGCGCTCAGAACGTACACCTGGGACCCCCACCTCCAATCCTCCTCTCTCTGCTCCGGCTCCCAGGTCTCATGGGTTTCCTCTTCTTCGCCTCAGGTGGTTGCTGATCATGCTCTGACAGCAGCGCATGAAAGGCTAACCACGAAAGGGAATACGGTAGATGTAAGTTGGCATTGTGCTCAAGAAAGAAGTTACAAAGAAGAGTGGGGGACAGGGATAACAGCCCAATCGGTGCTCAAGCTTTGTGCCTTTGGCATAGCTTTGGTGTTGTTGAGATTCGACCCCGACATTGGAGGCGCTTGCAAAGAAGCACATTGCTGGGATCCTTGCCCCTCCTCTCGGGGGCACAGATAATTGCCTAGACCCTACGGCCTTTGAGCAGGTTTGCAGGTATCTCGCGCACACTCTGAGGACTGCAAACGTGAATCCTCAGAAACGTCAAAAGCCCTACTCCTAAACCCTCTTTACTCGACCGCAGGGCCACAAACATTCTGAAACCCATTAAAACCCCTGTAAACATCTGTAAGCCCTCTTGAACCCCATCTTGACACTCCTATACATCTCAGAATCATTCTTACAACCCAATAAACCGCATAAACCCCATAAACCCCATAAACCCTCTAAACCCTATAAACCCCACAAGTCCCCAGAAACCCTATAAACCCTCTAGCCCCTATCAACCCTATAAACCCTCAGCGCGAATGATCTTCTGGCTCTCCGAGGAGCCTCGAGGCATCTCCTGAGCCTCCTTCTGCCAACCCCAGCCTTGGTCCTGGTTTTAGAGATTCCTTTGAGGGGTTTAGGGTTTAGGGTTTAGGGTTTAGGGCTTAGAGTTTGCTGTACTATGGCGTACAAGCTGTAAATGTGTCGGTTTTCAGTAGAGCCTTGAAGGCATCGAGCAATGCAAAGGGCGGCCATGGCCCGATTGCGGAGGGGCACCCTTTCACCTTTCTCGCACCCCACACCGTCTCAGGCGGCAAAACCACCCAAACCTATTCCTTTTAGGGTTTAAGCCTAAACTCAAACCAACCACCCACTTCCAAAACTTCTTGGGGGGTCCCAGGGCAGGAAAATCGGTTTTTGAGCACCCGTCAAGGGCCGCCAGCGTCAGGGGGTCCCGGACCCCTCGCTGCAGCGTGCCAAGGCACCAGGGAGCCTCCGGCCACCGTACCCCTTGCCCTCATGTAGCTCGACACTAATTTTCTGACTTCCGAGCTGTGGGAGGCGGGCGGACGAGCTGGGTCGACTTGCGCCATCGAGGTCGAGGGACTTAGGCGCCGCCTCCCAACTGTAGGGGGGCGGCCTCGGCCTTGAGTTTAGGGTTTAGGGTTTAGGGTCGTCGTTGTTTGAGGGTTATATTTCGAGTTTAGGTTTAGGGCCTTGGGTGTTGGAGCATCTCCCATGCTTACAGGGGAGGGGTGGCGCAAAAATGAAGGATGCACTTAAGGACGTCCCCCCCCCCCGCCACCCGTCCCAGACCCCCCTTTCACTGTCCCGCCTGGAGGGATTCAGGGTGCACCCATGCCTCGATAGTGGCATCATCGGGTAGCAGCAGTCGGACCCTCTTCATTCCGTCTTCAGCTGTATGCAGCACATCCACTGCAGTGTTCAGTGGTACTCCGAGGAGGTGAGCGGCGTGCTGCGTGAGGCGGAGGCGGGTCGCCTGCAGTCCAGAAATGATGACAGAAAAAAGTGCAGAATCTGGCCTACGTCCTGCACAATCTTCAATTTTTAGAGAAGGTGGATGTTGGAGCTGTTTAGGGCTTAGGGTGTGGGAGCCGTTTAGGATTTAGGGTGTTCAGGCTTCGAGGTTTAAGAGTCGGTTGTTTTTGGGGCTTCAACCTCGGACTTTGGATTTTGGAGACCAAAGCTAAGCCCCGGGTTCCTGGCACCACTCCCATGCGCCAGGCCATTCGTACTCCTCGCCGCAGATCTCACGGCCTTCCTTCCATGGAGGCCCTCAACCCTACCCTAAACCCCAAATAGGATGGCGAAGATGAGAAACATGTGGTCTTGCCTAGAGGCACCTAAACCCCGAACTCCCCAAACCCTAAACCAGCAGCCCTAAACCCTAAACCCTCAGCCCTACAAACCCTAAACCCTAAACCCCAAACCCCAAACCCTAAACCCTAAACCCTAAACCCTACACCGCAACTAAATGGTCCAAGCAGCCAAGGAGATTCCCGACAGGGGCAGGCCGAAGGGCAATGGCGCCATGTCAAAAAGGCTCTGCTCTTCCGAAGAGGACCTCAGGTTTAGGGTTTAGGGTTTAGGGTTTAGGGTTTAGGGTTTAGGGTTTAGGGTTTAGACTACGAATGCTTAAGAACTCCCCCCACAATAAAAGCTTTCTTCCTTATGAGGGTAATATAGGGATTGTGTTTTTTGGGTTCTTAAGCAAATAGTAGCAGAGGTGTGGCTGAGGAAGTTTGAGTTTGGGGCCTCAGGGCCTAGGGCTGAGGGGGTTGAGGACTTAGGGTTTGGGGTTGCAGGGAAAGGGGTTGCAGGGTCCTGGAAGAAGTGGAGGAGTTCAGGGTTCTGTGGGGCATCGTGGGGATGCGGGTCACAGAAGTCTAGGGTTCAGGGCCGCACCCTGCCCCCGAGGCACCTCTCCTGCAGGAGCACGACGCCCAGTTCGCGGTTGCCGCTCCAGTGCAGGTGCCGGTCCTCGACCCTGCTACGGCCGACGTCTGCTTAAAGGGCTTGGGATTAGGCTGAAAAAACTTGGGGGTTTTGGGGTTACAGCTTAGGGCTCGAAAGCGTGGATGGTTCAGGGATTCGGAAGTGGAGAGTAGTTGGCGAGCGTGGTGTGAACGAGTGGTTTTGGGTGATGCGACTGAACAGTGCAAGTGTTCCGCAAAATGCGGGCGGTTCGGGCTGATTCCAGGGTCTTGGTTAGTACTTACGGGAACTGGCTACCCTGGAAACATTCTGTCCGAAGGAAGAGAACAACTCGAGGGCATGAAAAGGGAAAACCCAAAGCCTAAAGCCAACCTTTTTGCATGTAACAAAAATCGCGGCGTCAGGAACGGAAATTAGCAAAACAGTTGGAAAATCACTCCGTGGCCTGTGCAGTGTGCCCCAAGCAGAGATTGAGAGGTTGTGGGAGCCCACATAGATCCAGCCATACCTGGGATCTGCTGCTTCATGTTTTGGTTCACAATTCTTGCTAGCCTCCGAACTCCCACCCAATACATGGAAGATCACACCGGAAGGTCGAATGCAGCCATATCTGGGCTCTGATGTGCCTCGGAAAGAAGCTTGGCCCTGATTTTCCCTAGAAAGGCAGACTATCCGAAACCCAGTCCATGTTGCTTTGGAGAGTTCAGGTGGAAGGCCTGGAGCCCCTTTTGTGAGTAGAGGCGCAGGCCCAAGCCCTGGTTTGTTGGGCAAGCTCTTTCGGTGATGTCTTTACAGAGGGCTGATACAGAACTCCCCGGCTTCAATCGGTTCTGTCACAATATGGAACAAAGGCCCAGGGATGTGCCGAGAAGCGGCAGTTCCCCCTAGAAGCCCCAAGCCAAAGCCTTCAAAATGCTTCAAGTTCTGCCTTAAGGAAGAGATCGGCCGGGGTTCGGCTGTGCGGCTTCCTCATTCCAGCAAAGTCGAGCGATGAGCTTGCCTAAGGCCGGGGGGTTTTAGACTGAGGCTTCAGGCTTCCGGCCTTCTTCTACTTGGGCCCTTTCGGACTTCCTTGCAGGGTTTTACACTCCTAGCCTGCGAGCACTTAACCCTTCCCTGAAAACCTAAGTGCTTTCCCCCCCCCCCCCCCACCCAAAATCTCTTTACGGCCGAACAGCCCCCAACCCTCCAAACACAAAACACATCCCAACACCAAACGCCCACGACGATGATCCCAAAACCCTACAAGCCATAATTTCCCAACGAAACCCTATGGTTTGCAGGGTTTAGGGGTGAGGGAAAAAAACCCTGAACCCCGGATTAACCCCCAAACCCGAAGTGATAAACCCTACACCCAGGTACCATGGTTCGGTAGGAGCTCTCGCCCAGGTGAGTGCGTCGGCGCCCTGTGGGCCACGAGACGCTGCTCCCCCATAGATGCGACTTCAAAACCTTGGAGGGTTTAGGGTTTAGGGTGAATACCGGATACCTTAGTCACTTCCTTGCTATTTCCTTGTCCAGGCAACGAAATCGAACAACGAAAAACAGACATCTAATGTCACCAGGAATGTTGACATTTAGGTTCTGTGCGTGCCCTCCTGACATTGATGTAGCTTGGACATGAATTCCATCACCATCGGCACATCCTGGTGTTTGTATTCCCTCATTGAATATCTTCCGAGTGCTACAACCCCTAAGGCATCGGAACTTACAGGTCATCACGTGCTCACATCTCATGAGGCTGAGGGGATCAAGCTCCAAAACCCCTAAACCCCAAACCTCCCGAAACCAACCCTAAACTTAAGACCTAAACTTAAGAGCTAAACCCTAAACCCCTAAACCCCTAAACCCCTAAACCCCTAAACCCCTAAACCCCTAAACCCCTAAACCCCTAAACCCCTAAACCCCTAAACCCCTAAACCCGTAACCCCTAACCCCAGACCCCAAACCCCAAACCCTAAACCCACGAAGTTCTTCGGTGGCTCTGGAGATTGATTTCAACCGACTGGGGTATCGTTTTGCCATGCGACGGATGGGACCTTGTTCAGGAACCAGCACGTGAGGTCCTGGCACAAAGCTGCTGTCGGCGTTTGGGGCTTGGATCTGTAGAATTCTGTAGGTATGGTTTAGGGTTTAGGACGGCTGAGGGTCTGTAGGTCGTTGTCTCGGTTCATGTAGGGTTTGCCCCTTTTGGTGAGAATCCCTTATGCGCGACCTTTGGCATCCATCATGTGCAAGCTCATCTTCAGAAGAACAAGGTGCCCGCTCATCACAAAGTTTGTGTATCAAAGATGATCCGGCACATTATGCAACGTGAACACTGCGTAGCATGGACAAAAACTGGCCCCGGAGGCGACATCTAAACGGCAAACAGGTCAACCAGAGTGTGTATACACAGATCGTCTAATCCATAGGGTTGCCATCACCCGTATCCGGCCACATAGATAAGGAAAGAACACACGTCAAGACCTTGCGGTGGATCAAGAACGGTTCGCCCTTCAGAGCATGGGATAGGTGTACCAGACTGCCATGTAGGCAATGGGCACGGCACACCATTCTTGATGTAGTCGCGAGTCACACATTTCAGCGCGGGCTATCCTCGGGCCTGATCGTGGACTGTGACCCAAGGATTTTGCGGGAAAGGTGGCTTGAAACCCTCCCGTGACATGTGACATCTAGACCAGCTCGAACCGTGACTTGTCTTGCTGAGTCTTGCCGAGTCCGCGCTAAATCCAGGCGAACAGCTCGGTCCTGGCAAGTCTCCCTCACCGGCTGCCCGCCCCACACACTCATCAAAGGTACGAAACCAATCCTCAGTTTTTCAAAGAGCGACAAGGCGAGGGCGCAGGAACCAGGAGACTCTCACCCCTAACCACCCGAACGCCCCTACATTCGACACCTCAAGCGCATCAGGGGGTCGTCCGTCAAGGTGCTGAAGGAGGAGCTCAGGGCCACGAAGTGGCGCTCCTCGGACTGGGGCCACGCGGTGTGGGACAAGCCGACATGCAATGCCATGAGCCCATAGTTGATCTCCTTCACAGTGCGGAAGGCGGAGTGGCTTGGGGGGGAAGAAAGTGAGGATGCCATTGCTTAGTTGAAGGAATCCGAAACGAACCCTGCGAGTTTTAGAGGGGGTTCCGGGATGCCCCGTCCAGGTGGGCCAGCAGCTCTCCCACGCCTTCGGCTAAATCGCAATCGCTGAAAGGATCGAGAACTTCGAAATACGGCGCCGAAACATGCGGCGTTTTCAGGGTGACCTGCACCAGCGGAAGCTTCTGGCTACTTTGCTCCTGGCCTGGTGAGGTATCAGGGTCCTCTTCGCTGACATCGGTTGCCAGTAGCTCAACTTCCAGGCCCAAGGAAAGGGGGCGACCGTCCCGTCCACGGAAGCCCAAGAACTCGGCTGCAGCGAGCGCTTTGCAGGATGCCGGGCTGGGAAAGGCCACTGGGAGGTCTGCAAGGCACAGTGTCCAGCACTCCCCGCGCTGAACAAGCGAGGCATTGCCGGAATAGTCGCCCCTCGCGGCGGACAGCAAGTCCTCCGTCTTCTCCGATCGCATGATCTCCAAGCTTTCCTCCATCAACGACAGCCTCAGCCCGACCTGTCCGGGGTCGAGAAGCCTTGCCTGCTCAAAGATGCCCGGGCGGGACATGATGAGCTGGACGCTGCGCTCATCAATCGAAAACTGCGAGAGCGTTGACAGCCACAGCGCGCGCTGATTCCCGGGGGCGCCGTTGAGCAGCTCCGCCAAGCAGTGGGAGAGGGTCCGGCAGAATTTCCCGGACTGCAGCAGGGAGGCCACGTGCAGACCAGAATCTCGCCATGGCGAACCATCTGTCCGGCGTCCAAAGTCTTTGACCCACACCACCTCGCTGTTACTCTGCCAGAACCTGGAGTTCAAGTTGGCGCTGGAGATGACAATACGTAGTCGGTCTTGAAACTCAAGGAGAATCAGCTTGGCATGCACGCTGCACTCGCTCTGGCCATTTCCTTCGCATCCTTCGGCGTCCGTTCCCTCAGCCGATTTCGGATCCCGGGCATGCCGGGAGAGGTGCGGGGATCCCGGGAAGTGGAGGCAAACGTTGTCGAACTCGGCCTCCAGGGCCCTCCACAGCTTGTCCCGATCCCGACTTGTCCAAGGGTGTGCGCAGATCGTGAGGGGCGTGCGCCTTTGAACACCAAGCTCCTCTCGCAGCCAGGCGACGTCGTCCAACAGGTCGAAGGTTGTCATCAGCACGGAAACTGCAGAATCTCTCCCACTTTGCGCCAGCTGATGAAAAGCAAGGGACGCAGTGTTCAACGTCGGGCCTAGTCCCAGCCGGGAGATCGGCACGGTCAGATAGGGTTGCTCACCCTCAAGGCCTTCCAGCAACCGCTCCAACTCGAGCTGCTCCTCATCCGTCAGGCGTGCGTCGCCCGCCTCATGACAAAAGGCACAGAGTCTCCGCACATCCTAGTCGCAACCACTCCGCAGCCTAACACCTCAGCCCTTAAAAATTAACCCTTAACCGCCTTAACCCGAAACACCATATATATTTTTCTATATATGTACATACAGGGGGTATATATATATATATATCTATGTATGAAAATGTATGTATGTATATATGTATATGCTACGCCCCCCTTTGACCTATGGGTTTTTGGTGTTTTCAGACATGCTGGTGAGCATGAGGCATCTGGGACGCCTTTTTTGTCCGAAGAAACGGAAATGAAGCTATCCGCCCCCCCCCCCCCCCCCCCCCCCCCAGCGACCAAAAACAAAGGCCCAAAATCGCGTAGCTAATCACCGGATAATGAAGGACAGTTATTGGGACACCCACCTCACAGACCCCGATAGGCCAGCATTCTATGCAAATTGTGCGTTTAAAGGGCAAATAATGATTTGTTCAGCAACTAATGTATTTATACAATTGTGTGTTGTACGAGGCAAAGTATTAATCAAAGACTATCTGACAAGTCCACTGAAATACTTTATGTTTACATATTCATGAAACTTTTTTTGAAATCATCATTCTATGCGAGTTTAACTACTAGAGGAATTATTCAGCAAATAGCAGCAAATAGCCGACTCGAATACGATTTATTAACGTATTTATGCAACTGTGTTTGTACTAGGCAAAGTATTCATCAGATACTATCTGAAACGTCCACTGAAATACCTTATATTTACACGTTCCTGAAATATATTTCCTTTCAAATAATCATTCTGTGCGAATTTAACTACTAGAGACATTATTAGGCAACTAGCACAATTTTACTCAAGTGAATACTAGTTAAAGGACCATACTCAACCAAAATACGAAATAAACACCATACTCAACCAAAATATGGCAAAGTGTGCTTTTCAAGGGCAAATAGTGTGTTGTTGAGCAGCTAATGTACTCATCAAAGTATAAATCAAATACCATCTGAAAAGTCCACTGAAATACCTTATGTTTCCACATTCATGAAACATTTTCTAGTTTGAAATAATCATTCTATGCGAATGGCAACTACTAGAGTAATTATTAAGCAAATAGCCCAATTTGACGCAAGTGAATACTAGTATAAGGACCGTACTCAACCAAAATACGAAATAGACATTAACGGAAATGGAAGCGGTTCTACTTACATAACAATGAAACAAAGATTTCTGAAGTATTCAATATAGACCACTTATATACTTTGTCTGAAAAGCACAATTTGCATAAGCAAGCTTAACAATGCACAAAATTCCTAGAAAAGTACTTAGTGAAGGCCATACACAAGCATATTCACAAATGCACAAAAACATCCAAAAAAGCGCAATCGTTTCAGGAGAATCTCTGGTGAAGTTTGGAAAAGACCACTTGCACATTATTTCTGAAAAGCACAATTTGCATAAGCACACTTAAACATGCGTAGTTATTGCCTCGTAAAGGCGAACCAAAAACCAAAATACAAAAACCACAAAAACCAAAAAACAAAATCAAAAAACAATTTTCCGAAACTCTTGGAGAAGCCTCATAGGGATTACTGAGAGTTCCAGACTTCTTTTTTGTTTATTTTGATATTTTTTGGTTTTGGTTTTTTGTTTTGACATTTCTTTTCTACTGTCCCGTTTTTTTTAAATTCGGATTGTAATTGTATTTTAGTCTACGCCCTAGGAAATACGCTATGTAGCACACTGAGTTTGCTTGCAGTGCAGCTGGGTGACTTGAGACAAGGCGAAGAAGGGTAGGTCACTGGGGGGCGGGGGGGTGCCAGAAAAGAAAAAAATGGCATAGGTCAATGGGGGGGGAGGTGCCACATATATATATATATATGTATGGTAAAAAAAGTGTATGTATACAAATTCCAGCACCAAGCCGCCTCAAGCGCTGCTTCTTCGACCCTGTTCAGCCAAAAGCCGTGGCCGCTGAACCAGTCCGGGACCGTTCCAGCCCCACCTCGACCCAAGCCCTCCAAGATACAGGTTCAGGGTTTGGGGCACTTGGGGGTATAGGTTCCTTAAATGCCCTAGACTTGACTACACAAAGCCCTTTGCTGCAGGACCCTGTTGCCACGAAAGGCGTGTGAGGTGTTGGGGGCATGCCACGGGCATGGTGTCCACGACGCGTTTGCACGGGAAACTTTGCCTTCTGGCCCTTGTCTTCGAACGCACAAGAAGATCACATGCTTCGGCTTGGTCACATGACAAGACACAACGAACACACGCACTCTCTCACTCTCTCGCACTCTCTCTCTCTCTCTTTCAATTTCAGGTCTTGCCCCAACAACGCGGCCAGCAGCCTTGAAGCTTCCTTCAGTAATTGCTCCAAGGCACGTGGCTCGAACTGAGAAGCTGGCATCGTCCAGTCGGCGGCGACTTCAATGAATGCACGCCCCTTGCTTGGCAGTTCGGATGTTGATCGCCCTGAGCGACATGGCCGAGGGGCCTGGAAGTCTGATAAGTCTTGAGCCCCTGCAAACTTGCGCCAATTGCGTTTTTCCAGCACCTTGCCATGCTTGAGCAAGGTATCCCATGCTGAGAAGGGCATGCACCAGGCATACACGGCAGTACTTCGGCTGGGTAACATCGCCGAGCCCTTAACCGAAAAACAACTGCATGCTTCACCTACTCATCCCACGCCCAAGGCCAATCGTCAGCCAAAAAGACTCTCAGAGACTCCATGACCCAAACAAATACTAAACCACTTAAAGCAATGAGGGTCTTTGTTTTGGGCTTCGATGGGGTCAGGGCCTGCTGGCTTGGACTGCCACGACCACCCCACTCGCGTTGTTCAGCTCGGGGCGGGTTTCCAGGCCCACCAGCCTGAGAGCAAAAAATGAGCATCCCAGTTCTGAAGAGTCATCAGCTGGTAGAAGAACTTTCGCTCGAATTTGCATGCTGCGCACGGCTCTTCGTCTGCCGCGTATCTATCCCGTGCACACATGTCTTTCAGGCGGCTGGCAGAAGTCGCCATCTCGTTATACCTTGTAAGCACTCGACCTACCCCTGACTCAACCAAGCTACCCAGCCCATCTGAAACCCTGGTGCATAAAACAAATGCAAACCCTCAAATTCCGAAACAACCCCCTAAACCCCAAACCCCAAACCCTAAACCCTCAACCCTGAACCCTGAACCCTAAACCCTAAACCCTAAAACCCTAACCCTGAGCTAGAAGAACCCCTAACCCGGCACCCGAAGCTCACGCCTGATCCGCGCTCCCACCTCCAAGCCGGGCCTGGCTCGCAGGGAGTCGCAGAGGTCGTGGGTTCGAAGCACTCAAGAGGGTTTAGGGTTTAGAGGGTTTAGGGTTTAGGCTAATTGAGGGTTTAGGGTTTAGAGGGTGTAGGGTAGGGGGGGTTGAGGGCCTTTTCTACTTGGGGGGAGTTTCGGCTTTGCTTCGGGTTTTTGGCGGCCCAAGTGTCGGTGTTTGATGATGGGGATCTCCGGCTCAAACTAGCAGCAGGGAACAACAAAGGGCAGCACCAACATAAACCATAAACCCTCAACCATCAAAAGGCTCGCGTCCTATCACCCCTCTCACCCCTATAACCCCATAAGCCCTTTCAGCCCCCAAAAGCCGCAGAACCCCTATAACCCCCTACATCACCCCTATACCCCCTATAAGCTATAAGCCCCCAAAACGCCCTACAAGTCCCCTGAAAGCCATTTAACTTCTTCGAGAGCCTGGTTTCGGCTCGCGCCGGGGTTGGGGCGCTGGTCGGCCTTTCGCTTGATAGACCCTCCGAAGGGTTTAGGGTTTAGGGCTTGAGGGGTTTGGGGTTTAGGGTTAGGGGTAATGGGGGTAGGGTGAGAGCTTTCTTGCAAGGTATTGTGGCAGTTGTGGTAGGGTTCTCGGTGCGTCGAAGTCAGCGGTTGGGGCTCTAGTTTGAGCTGCGATTCCTGAGCCTTCCGTGCTGCAAGCCCGAGGTTACCCCCTAAACCCAAAACCCAAAACCCTAAACCCTGAACCCTAAACCCTAAACCCTGAACCCTGCACCCTAAACCCTGAACCCTAAACCCTGAACCCTGAACCCTAAACCGAGGAAGCCTCGATGAGTTGGCTGCAGGCGACGACGAAGTTGTCCTCAGTCTGGACCCCATTAAGACCTAAACCCTAAAGACCTAAACCCCAAACCCTGAAGACCTAAACCCCTGAATTCTTTGAACTGCCCTTTAAGGACCTACTGCAATATAGTCACTTTCTAAATTATGGTCCCCTTTGGGGGTCCCTATTAAGCGGCGCCCCTGATTATTCGGGTATCCAAAGAGGACCATTCTTTCGAGAACTTGACCTTATGGGTATTACCCACTATAGGGGTACCTCTAACATATACCAAATACCATTCTAGTTTTCCCGAATCTTGGAATCTCGGAGACCCCCAATTATCTGGAATTACGGAGATCGGGGCCTGCTGTCGGCTTCGAGCGAGACGTTTTGTGGCTTCATGGCCTGGCCAAGCGCCAGGCTCGGGGGTTGAGAGGTTACACCAGTCCCGCTGCAATTCAATGGTCACGTGATGTCTGACTATATCTTTTCTGGAACATGTAGTATTCATCTTAAAATAAGAAGTTTTGTACTACATGGGGTTGGGGCTTTGGGTTTTACAGTATACCTCCTCCTCCTCTCCCTACGTAAGGGACCCTTGATTCTCGGGATGTTCCCCGTTATACCAGCAGTCCTTAATAGGGAGTCCAAAAGGGGGTACGATAATCCCTAATTAGTAATAGGGACTGTTAGTAGACCCTAGACCCTAGACCCTAGACCCTAAACCCTAAACCCTAAACCCCCCCCCCCCTCCCCCCCAAAAAAAAAAGAAACAAGAAAACACATCCAGGCCTTGATGCTGCCAGCTTCGGGGCCGGAGCTCAGCTCCACAAGGAAGCGACCATCCTCCTGGGTTGAGGGTTTGGGGTTTGGGGAATGGGGTTTAGGGTTTCGGGTTTAGGGCTCCAGGGCTGGGAGAAGGAGAGAGGGGGAATTCAACAACTTGGTCTGAGGGCTCATTTCCTTGCAACTCGTGTTCAGAGGTATGCAGAGCATCTGCCCGGATGCCCGGCCTTGGCGACGAGGGTTCCGACGCTGCCGTTCCTGGAGGCTGGCACGTGGCTACGGATTCTCTGAGTTCCTCCAACGACTCTGATACGCTCTGACAGCTCCAAGCCTCACAAGCTGCGGAAGCCCTTGCATGCAGGGGGCCGATCCCACTACTTCTCCAAGCCTTTGAGATTGAGGGCCCGGCAAATGCTTGGCGCCGGTGAGGCCATCCACGCGCACCTTGCTCCCCTCCACTAAAGGCCGCTTTTCGGCGCGCGCCGGCGAGGGCACGGAGGGCGCTGGAGCGGCTGGAGCCTTCAGTGGAGGCATTTCGTCCTCATCGTCCGGGCTGGGGCCTGGAACGTCAGAGTGACTGAGTCGCTCTCTCAGAGGCCATAAGAAACACGTATTTCAACGTGATGCACGTGGTGCGCTGTTATGCAAATGCCATGGCAGAGTCGTGCTCCGCCTGCTTGGCCACCCCTCGCCCACTTGAAGCCGCCCTGGAAGTCATTCACAGACCTGCGCCGGCAAATAGGAGTCCGCGACTACGAGGCCCTAAACGCCAGCCCTCAAACCTGCTAAATAGGTCCCGAGGAACAAAGAAAAGTGCCCTGAAGCTCAATCCACAAACCTCGCAACTCTGCCTCGGCTTCTGGTAGTGCACTCGGGGTCCAAAGCCGCTGACTCCTGAGGCCAAAGGGTGCTAGGGGGGTAGATTTCACAGCTTAAGTTTCTTGCGTTGAAGGGTTCTGGGAACCCTCAACGGGTTCAGGGAATGCGGTCTGGGTGTAGTTGCAACACGGACTGGCGCTGGGGACAGGGCCGCTCATCTGACCATGGGCAGAAGCTGTATCTCACGAAAAACTACCAGCATAAGTGAGGGCAGAAGCACCCTAAATTACGGTTATAGGCTTTAGGTTATCTTGCTCAGGGTTCAAGGCTTAGGGAAGCTCGGTTACCTGCTGAGCTCGTAGCAGGCCTAGACCAGGGTTGTCGGTCAATGTCATTCACCGATGCCGGTGGGAGCATCGCTTCCGCCAACATTTTGCTGCGTACAGTATGGCTCTCATGTCTCGAAAGCTATTGAGCGAAGCTTGGGCAGCAAGTTTTGAGCGCGTGGAGACATATTCAACACCCTGCAGAAAAAAAACATGAACGCGTCTGTGTGATCATATCTGCAGAGTTCCATGGTCATGTGCATGCCTCGGAGCTAGGTCGAAAATGCTGCAACTGGATTTCCTTGAAGGCATTTTCCTGCTGGGCAACATGGTGCAAGAAGGGTTCAGGGTCCAAGATCATCTTAGAGCCTTAGAGCCAAGGCCTTGGAAGGGGCCTGGGCATTACCCTTTTTTCCTACGCGGTGCAGCAGGTTTTCGCTTCTTGGAGGTATGGCTTATCTTCACCATCTACAACAGACACTTCCTGCTCAAGAATCAAGATTAGGGGTCTTGAGCTCTGTGCCGTCAGTTGCCCCGCCTCCACCTTGAAGGGCTGCTGAAAGAGTGCATCTCTCCAAATCATTCCCTTCGGTGGGGGTGGCGGGGCCACAGGATACACCACTGCTTGCTCCTGCTCCAGTGTGAGAGGCAAATTGTTGGTGAATGCCCAGACACAATGCCCTTCGCTGGACAGACGTTGGAAAACATAGTGGTGCTCGTCGCCATAGTGTACCTTAGCACTGGCTGTCTCCAGATGGTTCTGTCGACGGATGGTGTTCATCCTGGCAAGCAGCTGGTATTGCCAAGCAGAGCGATTCCAGCCGAACTGCCACAAAGAATTCCGGTACTCAGCGTTGCCCTGCTCATCGCCCCAGGTCACTGCTGGCATGCCTTTCGTGAACATGAGCCACGCCCACGCGTTCAGCACCAAGGACGGATAGTCCTTGCAACCACCAGTCCCCGGCGAGAATGGGTCTGTCGAGTATCGGTACAAGCCGAAGATGGGACCATCGTCCTGGCTGCTGACGGTGTTCAACAGCAAGTCGGTGTTGGCGTAAGCTCGGGATTTCCATTGCCTCTCGCTTTCGACCGCCAGGTATGAAAGGTTAAAGCCGCTAACAGGAGAGAGGGCATGGTTTGGCCACCCACAGTAACCGGGAGCTGCTGCATACACCAAAGGGAAATTTTGCATACCTTTCAGAATTGCCTGGCCATTCTTGTGCTGGAAGGAAGCGTGATAGGTCATGTTCCCTGTTGTAACTTCGCCTATCACTGGGATCGGCTTCTCCTGTGAGCTGAGGAGGTCCTGAAACAAAAGGGTCTTTCGAACAATTCCCCGCAAGTCTCAACGCTAGTCTCCACAAGACCCTGTCCTGAACCTCCTTCAGGAAGTCATGTGCCATGAAGGAAGCCGTGTCCAAGCGCAGGCCGTCCACAGGGAACTCGGTCACCTTGGGGTGCAGGGTGCAGGGTTTAGGGTTTAGGGTTTAGGGTGACCCTGAAGTGCTTCACTAGTGCGCCAGTCCAGGACCCTATCTATTCCAGCTGCCGAGCTGGCGAAAACTTCTAGCCAAAAGAATTCTGCAGCGCTGTGGGTTGTTATCACGTGTGCTAGCCCCCCTCTCCATCCTCTCCTCTACACCCAGTATTTTAAGGGCTCCAATGCCCAAACCCTGCTATGCAAAATGCCAGGCCAGCCGCCATGAACTTGACCCAGCTGAGCAGGGTTTGTCGCACGAACGGCACCGACTGGTTCAAGTCCCCGAGGTCGTAAAACCAACCTTCCTCATTCACAGTCTCATTGTAGCCTGAGCAGATGTAGTCTCCGGGCCCGCAATACTTCAACGATGGCGGCCCTGGAGCTCGTGGTAAGTAGGTGTCAGGGGTGTAGACGTTGCTTGGGTAGTTGTTGCAAAAGGTGCCGTTGTTGGTGCCGTCGGGCGTGCCGTCAGGGAAGAAGTGTAGATAGCAGGCGGCGCCGGGCCCGACGGCTTGCGTTGGGTATGGCCATGTGTCAGCTTTGGCCGCATACTCGTCGAAGGTCATGTTGCTCATGTTCAAAAGGTGTAGGTGGTGAGGTTCATTGAAAGGGTTCACTCGCCGGAGGTCGCTTAAAGAGTGGATGGGGCGGACATGGTTCAAGACGATGTCAAGGATGAAGCACATGCCGTGGCGATGCGTTTCTTGGATCAACTCCTTCAGGTCCTCCTTGCTGCCGAAGTTGGGATCGATCTGATACAAGTCCTCAGCCCAATAGCCGTGGTAGCCGTAGCCACTCTGCTCTGAGGCAGGACCATAGAAGTTCTTAACCACCGGAGTAACCCAAATACAGTCGAAACCCATGCCCTCGATGTAGCCCAACTGGCTCGTGATACCCTTCAGCGTGCCGTTGCACCACTTTGTGCCACTGCAGGCCTCAGGGTGCCCCTCAGCATGAGCAAAGCGGTCAGTCATGATCAGATACACCGACTTCCCCTCCAAAGAGGACGACGCTGTGGCTTTCGCACTTTCCGCACTTGTCGCGTGAGGGACGACATGGGCTTTGTGCTGAAGGAGATGCAGATCTTGCCCGCTTGTGCAGGCCTCGCCTGTGCAGGCCTCGACTGTGTCGGCCTGCCCGCATGCACCGACACAAAAGAGGGCCAGTGCGAGACCACGTACTTGGGCGATCATTTCAAAAGAGCCACACCATGTATCTCTAAGGACACTCTGTGGGACTCCAGTCAGAAGTAGTAGTTTGCGTATGATCAAACCAGTAGCATTAGGGACGTGTCTTGAAGAGTTGCTGTGTTATGAGCACGTGTTGTGTGCGCACAGTTGCAGTACCTTGCTTCCTGCTTTGAGAACTGCTCAGCCGAGTTCATGTGCATCAGGCTCTTGGACTCCACTCCCTCTGCCCTTTGCCACCCCCAGAGACCTCTTTCTACCCTGAGACACTTCAATACCCCCCAGCCTCTCAACCACCTTCCTTTTTTAACCCAGCTTCCGCCGGCCACTCCTGCTACGCATCGGTGTGGACCGATGCCAAACTTGGTCCCCAGCAGCCCTTGCCCCACCTCTGAGTCTAGAGGGCGAATCGGGGGTCCAGGTTTACAGCTCAGCTCAAGGCCTTAGCTAAGGTGTTGGGGGTGAAAGCTTGGGGTTTAGGATATATTAGGGTTCTCAGGGTTTCTTCTGGTGGTTCTCGGGAAGTGTATGTATGAATCAATCGGGAGCATGGAGTCAAAACTGCCCAGCTCAGCTTTCCATCCACGGCCGCAAGCGGACTTTCCCACCGGTCGCCCCGGCGGCGAGATGGCTGCAATAGGCCTGGTGCAGGTCCAACATCGACACGTCCTTCCGAGCACGCCACATCCCCCCTCCCCCCCCCCTCCCCCACCCAAGCAAGGGCGCGCAAGCACCTAACCTGTAGGCCCGAGATACGCCTAAAGCCGTCCAAACCCCCCTAAACCCTACACACTACACAACCTAAACCCTATACCCTAAACCCAAGCCTAACGTGCTGGGGAGTCCTTGAAACGGGACCCGAAGACATCGAAATGCCGGCCGACGATGGCGGCCTGCTTGCGGCCCCGTAGAAGGCCACGGATGATGCCATCCTACGCCATTTTGGGGTTTGGGGTGTAAACCCTAAACCCTAAACCCTAGACCCTGAAAGCTCTGAGCTCCCATCCCAGGGCACCAGCCACACAAAAAGCATCGAAGCATCGGTTTCCGGATTTAGGGTTTTGGGGTTTGAGGCCCTTGGAGTCGTAATGCTGGCAAACCCCACGGCCCAGACTCCTAAGCCTCAAACCCTAGGGTTCAGGGTTTATGGTTTAGGGTGTAGAGTTTAGGGTTTAGGGTTTAAACCCTCAACCCTAAACCGACTCGTTCACACCCCCCTTGAAAAGCCCGAACGCCCAGCCCAGTCCCTGAAGATCCAGTTGTTCACGAGGAAGCCCTCGAGTTTCCTTGGCTGTTCAACCTTCAAAGCCTCTGAATGTTTCGGGTTTAGGGTTTAGGCTTTAGGGTTCAAGCATCCCAAATCAGATCCAACAAAAAGAGATAGAATGTCCCAAGAACCCCTCCTTACACTCATCAAAAATAGCACGACACTGCTTTGCCAATCATTTTCGTCCCCAAACATGCACCCTAAACCCTAAACCCTAAACCCTAAACCCTGTGCTCAAGAACGGCCCAAGCTCTTGTTGAAGTAGATCAGCTGGATGGGGTTGATGGACCCCAAGTTCTCTCCAGAGAGCCGGCCATACACCCATGCAGTGCCCCCTGGAGGCAGCATCCTGGGTTTAGGGTTTAGGGTTTAGGGTTTAGGCTTTAGGGTGTAGGGTTTGGGGTCACAGAACCACGTATCGGTTCTGGGCACTTTGGGCTAAATGTTCTCTCTCTTTTCGGTAATACCCCTCATACCTTACCGGGGGCCCATACTTCCCTAAGTCCTGAAACCCGAATCCCAGGTTGCAGGATAGTCGTAACTTGAGTGCTGCCTAAGCTGAGACACTCTCACTATTCTTGTGAAAGTCTTGCTGTGATTCTGAATTTGGTTGCTTCTTAAAACGTATCATCGTCGGTATTGTCGGGCGTCGCCAGCAGCTCACCAGTGAAGTTCCCAGCGATGCAGTCGACGACTTGTGAGATCTGCAGCTCGTGAATCAACTTCCTGGGCCACTGTCATGTTGCATGACAAGTGAAGTTTTTACAGCTGATCAAATTATGACTCCTGGGGTTTTCTTGCAGTTCGCCACTTCATGAATCCGCAATCTTGCAGACCCCACATCGAAAAAACGCGGGAGACCCGGAGCCATCCAACAACATGCTGCCTGCGGATGCGAGCTTCCCGAGCGCGGGCTTCCACTCGGGGTCGCTGGTGTCCACGATGTACTTGGCCCCAAGCTTCTCGAGGACCTCAACTTGCTCCTTGCGCCTCACCACGTTCACCAAGACCATTCCTTAGAGGAGACGCAAAAGGAGGATTCACTGTTTCACTGCACTTCGATGAGGACTGCATGGAGCTACCAAACTAAACCGGGGCGAGCATTTTCAAGCAAACTGCACAGACTTGCAAGGAACAACAATATACAATAGTACATAGAAAGGCGAGTACGTCATTGTAAAAATATACAAAAGTGTGTGTGTATATATATATATATCACCCTTACAAGCCGAGGCACCCTCTTGCTGACAGTACTTGACCATCATCTGGCCCAGTTGGGAGGCTGCAGCCGTGTGGATGAAGGCTTTCCCTTTCCGTGACCTCACAGCCTCCACGATGGACACCACCGTGAAAGGGTTGACGAAGTAAGAGCAAGCATCCTCCCCAGACTCACAGAAGCCCCCGCCTCCCCCCCCCTCAGCCCCCCCCGAAATCATTCACCCAAGGGCAACTTTCGCGACATGCGTGCGTATTGACTCCAAATACAACTTCTTTCCGAAATGAAAAGCTCCAATGTCCAAGCCCTCTCAAGCTCTCCTGAAACGCCCCCCTGAGCAGCCCTAAACCCCGCCTCCACCGCAGTGTTGCTGGGCAGGATGAATGGCCCCAACCCGAATGCGTCAACAACCGCGTACTGCGCATAGGACTTGCCGGTGAAGGCCACCTGTCCGCTGGGGCCGAAACCTACTAAAACCCTATGTAAACCCTAAATCCTAAACCCTGAACCCTTAATCCTTAAACCCCAACCGTACATTAAACCCTTGAACCCTAAACCATACTGGGCTGGATGCTGCGACCTTCGGCCTGCGGCCTGGCTTGCACAGAAAAGCTGACAGAGAACTTCGGGGAGCTTCTTTTTTGAAGCTTCAAGCATCACCTATACGACTCCACGCTTTTGGGGTTTCGGGGGTTTACAGAGGGGTTTTGGGGGCTCCTTTGAGTACATTCAAGAAGTGGGGGGGGGCATTGGGACAGTGTCGCCCCGGTAAGCCTCCAGGCCCAGAAATTGCGAGGCCCAGAGACCGCCGCCAGTGGCCACTACCCGGCCAGAGCCCTCGATGCCCAGGGGGAGCCTGGATCGAACTTGGGACTTAGCAGTGTCGGATTCCCTCTATTAGGGCCGAAAGCCTAGCGAGCAAAAAAGCAAGAAGCTCTAAGCCCTAAAGGCCTAAACTATCCCAAGCCTCCGAAAGCCCTCCAGAGCCGAAGCCCTGAACCCCTCAGCCCAAGACCACTTTGGAAAGCTTTCCCAAGAGTCGACCAGGCGGCGGGTAGCCCTGAGAAGGAGCCTGCCTGCAGGTCGGATGCTTTAGGGCGGTTTCAGTAGGGTCTGAACCACGTTGGTGCTGTCTTCCCTTGTGAGTTGCTATCGGGACTGTTCGCTAGCCTGCTACCGCGGTTCAAAAGGATATGCTACCCTCTGAGCTTAAGGTCTGATCCTGTCTCTTGCAGGCCATTGCTGAAAGGGAGCGTGCGTTGCGGATCTCATATGACATGGGGCTCTTCCTTTGAGCCCGTGCATTGAGAGGGGCCTGGTTGCAGCAAGTTGCAGTATTCCTAAACGAGGCTGCCGATGGCTGATGGGCACTCAAAGTACTTGAGCTAACCAGCTAACCCCAACGACGGTCTTGCAAGTCTTTTCAAGCACGAGGCGCTTCCACGCCCCGTCGTCCGAAGGGTTCACGGGAGCAGCGAGCACCTGGGGCAGGCGCACATCGCTTTTTGTGGTTAGGAGTCCTCAAACCCGAAAGCCGTATACCCCTAACCCTAGAACCCTTCAACGCCAAACTGGCTCACGAGCCGGGGCCTTGATCAGCAGCTGACCACTCTTGGGTTTGGGCGTTTCGACCTCTTCAATCTCGATCTTCGCGAGGGCAATATCCTTGTTAGCCTCGCAGGATGTGTGAGGTTTAGGGTTTAGGGCTTAGGGTTCAGGGATGAAGGATTTCGGTGTTCTTTGGTTTCAGGGTTTGGTTTGGGATTCGAGGGTTCTTGGGTTCAGGATTGGCGCGGATGCAATTGCTGCGAGATGCAACACCCTAGAAACCACCCCCATTCCCAGAGCGGCAACCCCATGTAGAGAAATCTTTTCAAACCCCATATTATTCTGCCGCCGCCGCACAAATCCCATGTAAAGCTTTCCCATACCCAAATCGAAATCCGCATGCCCGCTCATCCCCAAGAAGGTGCTCCTCGCGCAGAACCAGGCGCTGCATCTTCTGCCTTAGTTGCGGAGGCAAGGATTAAACTGTGCGTCTGTGTGCCCTAAACCCTAAACCCTAAACCCTAAACCCTAAACCCTAAACCCTAAACCCTAAACCCTAAACAACATGGGCCCCAGAACCCTGAGCCCCGAAACCCGCAACCCAGAGCCATCGACTTTGAGGAAGAGGTCAGCAGACCCGTCCCCCCCCCCCCCCCCCCCCCCCCCCCAAAAAAAAAAAAAAAAAAAACATCCCAAACACCAAAATCCTGAACCCTAAGCCCAAACAACAACTTATGAGGGCAGTTGCGGGATCTCTTCGATGGTGTTGGGCCGCCTGATGGCTGTCGAGACAAACTGACTTCACGCATTGAAAGGGTTTGGGTGTTGGCACGGGGGTGCTTTTACGCTTTAGGGTATTGGTTCACGTCCCACGAAATCCCCGTTCACGGAGCATGTAACCATCTTCTGTGTGTGTGTGTGTCACACTCTGCATCATTCCTTTTTGGGGCCTCTTGTACTGGAGCCACCCGAAGCAACCAGCGCCAACGAGCACGGCACTGAGGGTCTCCATGGCCAACCCGCGCGTGGCAGCGCCAGCAGACAGCTTCTTTGGCTTGCGCTGCGCTGGCAAGACTGACTTAGGCTGGTATACCGTTTTCCTGCATGATCCTCCGCATCTGTGGGCAACAAAGGCAGGCGGAGAGGTGTGTCATTCATCCATGTGATGCGCCGGGCAGCAGCCATGCGTGAAGTGGCCATTCTTTCCGGTCTAGCTTTGTCAAAACTGGCTTTTGTGCCATGCTAGCGCTTTCTTGGAAAGACGCCAGCCAGAAGCGCCTGATTGGGCGAGCTTTCAGGGCTTAAGCCAAGTTGTGAGCCCTGGCCCCTCTTGGCAGGAAGCAATGGACCAGTGCCTCCTGCTGGGGCCATCGTGTCTGGAAAGTATACGACTATACGACGCATGCTGACGGTTGTCGTCAGACCGGGGTCAGCTTTCAGGGATCACTATCACTACGAGATAGCCTTCGCATGATGTTCTCAAAAAGTCATTGAAGAGACCGTCTACGAAATGCTGCAGACTTCTTTGTAGCGAGCCCTCTTTCCGAAACAGCCCGGCTTCCCTTTTGCAACTTGTAGCCAAAGGGTGGGCGGATGTGCAGCGTGCTCACATCGACATGAGGGCCATGAGGGTGGGCGGGTGCGCCGGAAGAGCAAGTCTTCCAAAGTCCACCATGCTGACAAGCTCTCTGGCTTCGGGGGGCCATCTCGCAGCTGCTGGTGCGGTGCCTCGTGCTTCACTCAGCCAGGGAGATGTCGTGGGCGCAGCACGTCGAGAAGTGTAGGCAGTGATGGCGACGCGCTCTGCTTCGCTTGTCTCAGCCAGCTGCTTGGGCGTGAAAGGCTCTGTCAGGAAGCATCCTTGGAAAATATATCAGCAAGGCAAGGCTCGCGAACCAAGTCTTCTGCCCCACTTTATTTGTGAGTTTCTTCAGTATCAGTTGTTTCGAACAAAAGACTCCAATTTGCCAAAGGGCTGTGGATGGTCTTGCCTCTCCCACTCCCAATCTTCCGTTGTCAATCTCCTGCGCATCAGCCATGCTGTGTCTTGTCTTGGCGCAGACATCCCTACTGCAGGCAACTTCCTGAAGCCCCTCGAAGCCCCCAACATGTTTCTGTGCTCTGGCACTGGCTGTGGGTTCTTGCCTGGTCTTGTTCACGACGCGCGCGACTCGCTCGAGGAAACCTTCTGTGGAGTAAACCTCCCTGGCACTGGGAGATTGACTGGGGATGCGGGGTTTATGGCCTAAGTGGCTTAGGGTCCAAAGATTTTGAGCCTCCCTACAGCTGAGCAGTCATGGACAGTTACAGACTACAAACCAGGATCCATGCATCTGAGGCCACATCGCACCCTACCCACATACCTCTACCCCCAGGCTCAAAACTTTCTCTCTGATGCCTTCCCGGATACTCGCCCGCCGCGTAGAACTTCCGAAGAGTTGCATTCAAGGAAGGGGCCTCCATGGCAAAGAGACATGCTCTTGCTGTTGGGGGCTTTTCGGTTTGGAGGGGGGGTTCAGGACCACTAAGCTCTGCGAGACCAAAGCTTCATAGACCCCTGGATTCCCGTGGCCCGGAGGTGCCAGGTGATGCATTGGACCATTGGACTACTACTAAGACTATCTCATGCTAGGTAGTAGATCTATAGTTAGTGATATTGCTATTGTTGTTATTGCTAGTGTCACTATTGTTATGATTACTACGAGTATTAGCATAACAAGTATGCTGATCTTGTTTTTCATGTCGGCTTCGCTTGCAACACCAAGCTGCCTGGCCTCAGGGTTGGCTTCTGCCTCAGGTCATGCGCAGCAACTCAGAGGGCTTCGGTGCCAAGGCCACACCACTGAACTTCTTTGGTAGACCGTTTAGGGTTTAGGGTTTAGGGTTTAGGGGTTCACAGCATGCCGTGCCCGAAGTAGAAGCACGGGCCGGTCCGAGCTAGCTTCGGCCCGGTAGCCTCTAACTCCAACCCTCCATGACCCATGGAACCCTAGGGAATGATCGAAGGGTTTAGGGTTTAGGGTTTACGGTTTAGGGTTTAGGGTTCCTACCATCTCAGCTCTCAGCGGTGGCCGTGCCGCCATAAACGGAGTCATAGGCCGCTCGAAGCTTCTTAAACGTCTCGGCGAGTGCCTCAAAGGTCAGAAAGGTGCACTAGCTGCCTCAAACGAGGTGCAGAGAATCTTCAGGAACCCCAAGTCGAAAATCTCTGAAGGCCGGAACCGAAACCACTTGCCAACCCCTCAAAGCACATAGACAACGGGGATACAACTTTTCCATCAGGTCCTGCCATAAGATGCTGCCAATACACGTACACACCCCGCCATGGCCACTGCACATGCTCCTTCAATCAGCTGCTGCCTTGAAGTCCAGCGGATCGACGGTGTAAGCAAAAGGCTCCGGTACCTGCTGTGGGCCGCCCCTGTGCCCTTAAACCCAAAACCCCCTGAGCCCTATAGGCTATAGGCCATACCGCAGGCGCAACATCCCTCAGCCAGGGCTGTTGGCGATGGGGCAATGCTCTACCCGACCATTGGAATCATCGAACGATATGACAATACAACTATCCTATATATATATATATATATACCTCGATTCGATGGTGGCCTGGTGATACGGTGCCGTGCATACTCCAAAATTCGATCATACCAGTATCATCTAACAGCCTTCCTTCCCCACCCCGACGACTGACTTTCAGCGACTAACTTCGCGTGGCATCTACACGCCCGAGGTTGCGTCTTCACCCTTGCCACCACCAGCCGTCCAATCTCAGCATATCCTCCCTGGATTTGAGGGCATATACTAATTAGGCAGCGCCTGCTCCAAGAATGGATGTTGAGACGTCCATTTCTGCGTGATGGGCTTGTTTGGCCTGGCGGGTCGTAAAGTCGGGTCGTAACAGCATTCCCGCCCCCGGCCGAGAGAGACCGTGCACACCAAGTCCTAAACCCGAGCCTCCTCACAGGTCCATCCGCCTCCGAAACCATCCTCAACCCGAAGCCCTGGAGCCCCCTAAACCCTGAACTGCTCAGGTCGCTGCACCGCGTGAGGCTCGGGAATTCGGGGTTGGATCACCTGGCTACAGACGAAGAATGACCGTCCCCGAGATCGAAAAAAAAAGAAGAGCCTCGACAATCCAGTGCTCAGTATGCAAGGAAGCAGCTACAAGACTGGAAGAAGAAATCGCCCGTTCTCAAGAAGCCCTGGGTTTCCCTTTTTTAGGGCTCCGAGGCGGGGAGCTTTGCTGTTAGGGCCAATGAGAAAGCGCCGAGGGATCTGAGGGCTGTGCATGGGTCCCGACGCTCAATGCTTCGAAGCAGGAGGGTGCGATCAAAGGCTCACCTTCACCCAAGAGCTCTTGGGGTGTTGTGCGAAAGTTTTGGGGTCAGGGTTTGGGGATGTTTGGGGGTTCAGGGTTGAGAGAGCTGGGGCCACCAGAGTGTTGAAGAAGCTTTACTGGAGGTTTTGGGGGCTTGGGGGTTTGGGTTTCATTTCAGGGGGCTTGAGGGTTCTAGGCATACACCCAGCAGGCCGAACGCCGCCGTGTCAGAATACTTCGGGACACCCAAAGGTTGGCTCAGGAGGGGACAGCAGTGACAACACAAGCTGGCCAGCAATCCTAATGTGCTCATGAACGCACCCCTTGGGTGTTTGCTACCTTGGCCCCCAAAAGGGGCCAAAAGCTATGACCTTGCTTCCCAGACCTACCTTGGGTCCCAAAAGGGGGCAAAAGCTATGACCTTGCTTCCCAGACAAAGCACCCAAAGAGCCCCCAAACGCAGGGAAGCGGGATTTTGGGAAATTTCAAGGCTGCGCCACGGTTCTGCGCACCTACGCCCACGTAGACGGCCGATCCTTGCAAGAGGTCCCGGAACGCCGCCGGGGACCTGAGCTAGGATCGCACAGCGCTTTTGACCTACATTATGTCATAGTCGTCATATTCCACTCCGGGGGTTTACAGGGTTTAGGGTTGAGGGCTCTCCCCCAAGATCGTGGCTTCGGTCAGCAGGTCCCCCCCAAACTCGAGCTCACGGCTGGACATTGCGGACATCCACTTCGGGGCAGCAGCTCCGTAAGATCCGCTCGGTCTTATAGGTGTCCTTCACAGAATAGGGCTAAGGTATAAACTTCAGCAGCTTCTTTTTCCCCACCCTCGGTGTGGGGTTGTTAGATTTTGAACTCAACTCTTCTCCTCGCCCGGAACTCTTCTCCTCGCCCAGTCTACTCCTCGCTCATCCCTGGAGTGCCCAAATTTAGAGTGTTCTTGGAGTACCCCAGAATCTCCCTGGAGTGCCCAACCCCAGAGGCTTGCTGGAGTGCCCAACCCCAGAGTGTAAACCCGTCTCCCTGGAACCCCAGAGCCTCCACTGGAGTGCCCAACCCCCGGAGTGCCCAGCCCCAGCTCCCTATCTTTACCAAGAGAGGGTGGGGATGTTCGAAGCAAAATAAATATAAAGCTTCCCTGAGAGCCTTAGTTCTTGGCTTCGGGTACTTTTCAGCGCTTGTTCCGAAACATGGGACTGGCACTTCCAAGCATCTTGTAAGCTGGGAGGCTCTGGCATATCTGACTTCGTAGATCTTGCTCGGTATCCTTAAGATGCTCACTCGAACATATCAACATCTCTCGCTCCTGCTTGTCGATGGTTGCGATGACCTTGCAGTACTTCGAGTACTCTCGCAGCAGGTTCTGGTGGTAAGCTGGCCATCCCAAGGAGGAGTTCAGCCACGGGTGCACCTGGGAGTTGCCACGGTGCAGGATTTGTTGGGTCAGTAAAAACACCCGGAAATCCCAAAAGGCCTTAACACTAAGCATGTCACATAATAATATCATATATAATATGGTACAAACTAGCAGAATATTCCGACGAACCTGACCTGCAACCCATCGACCGTTTTCAGCTCTGATATCGGTGGCCTTGCTCCACAGCACGCACTGCCAGCTCCGCTGGGGGAGCTGGGCGGTGACGGAGTCCTCGTAACGTGGCTTCGGGGCATCGCGAAGTTCGGTTTGGGGTTCAGGGCTTCTGGAGTTGAGTTCTGTAATGATTTCAGGACGTCTGACACTTAGCCTCGATCCTAAGCCCAAACCCCAAAATCTAAACCTCTCCCTCCCCCTCCCTCCGGCGTCCTCAGAGCGGCGTTCCACGGTCGCCGCCCCCAAGAAAGTATTCCGGGTGCTGAAGCCTTTTACCATTAGGTTGGGTTTGGGGGTTGGGGTTCAGGGTTTAGGGTTTGGGCTGTTCCGATCATTCGGCGCGCCTTGATTATTACTGAGTACCTTCAGGAACAAGGCGGAGACGGCAATTCTCCACTAATCGCTTGTTTAAAGGCTCGGAGATGTTATTGTTAGGTGGCCCGCCCCAGGCCGCCAATTACCTTTGCTGCTTTCGAATGAAAATTCGCCGCAAGCTCACTCACTCACTCACTCTCCCCCTCTCTCTCTCTCTCTCGCTCTGTCTCGCTCGCTCGCCTGGGATCAGGGTCAGGAAGCGATTGAGAGGATAGTCCTGCAAGCAGCCATTGTGTGTGTGTGGGTGGGTTGGCAAGTGTCAGGAAAAACCAGAACCGCACACCTCAGTTCGCCAAGCCCTGCGCCCACAACATCTCGCAACTCTAAATCTGTGCTAGCATGGCTTGGTCCGTCAGGGGTCGGATGCGCCCCCAGAACTGGTGGTCCAGCACTGTCCCATCGGTCCCAAAGGTGTCCTGGTGTGTGCTTGCTGAATTTCAAGAATCTGCAAGAGACTTCTCACATGTTGGAGAATGTTGGCTTTCACCACTACAACCTGGCTGTGCATCCCGTGCCCCCTACAAGCTAGCACCCCGTCCAGCAACCAGGTCTTGTCAGGTGGAGGGAGCGCATTCATCGACTTCCCTCCGTGCACCTCAGGGGTCTGAGTGTAAATTGTGGCAGAGCTCACAGAGGCTGGGAAAACCAGGAATCCGGCACCATCGTAGTCCGTGAAGATAAGCTGCATCTTCCGGTAGTCGTCTGGGCGTGAGCTCTACTTCATCCCGTTGCACAAGGCCCAGGATGCTTATTCTTTGGCAGCTCTGAACTGAACCCTCTATGAAGAAAACGGTCCCCAAATCCCCCTAAACCCCATGTGGCCTGACGTCGGAATGTGGCCCCGCCCATACGGCCAAAGTTCGACCTGTGCGACGCGGTCAAGAGGCGCACCTCCCTGCATAAGCTTCCCCCAAAATAATCAGGTCATCAGCCCACCGCCCCACTCCCCCTCCAACCAATACAATCAACACCGATTGCCCTCCACCATCGTCATATGGGGGTTTCCGAAAAAATTGGGAGTACCTTGTTGGGGTCCCTACTTTAACGGAATCCCACGATTTGGGGTCTATTTTTAGGGGTCCCCTATTGGCGTAAACCCCCCATATCCTCCTTCTTGTTTGCTTCCTAAGATCGCGCTCAGGCAACGGAGCCTTGATCCCAAGTGTGCAAAGCGCTGCGCAAAGATCCGCCCACCTGGGGTTCTTATTTGAAGGGCTCCGGGTTCTCAGGAGGGAGATAGGACAGCTAGGAACTGTATGGGTTCCTTTTATCGTGGGACCTCCATGCTTAGAGTGTCTTAGAGTACCCAAGCCCCTGCTTCCCGACTACTGAAGAATCCGTTGGGAAAGGCATGGAAAAGCGGCGTCGAGTTTTCAGGGTTGGTGCGTGTATGGGTTCAAGGCTTAAACTTTTATTTATAGTTTTCTCGGGCCAGTCCTTTTGGATCTCCTCCCGAACCATCCCATCTTCACAAGATACCTAGAAGGAAAGCCCAAAACCAAGCATAAACTCAAAACAGCCAGCGTTGTGCTGATGATTGGGAAGGCTGTGCTGTTGCAAAGAACTTGTCAGAGTCGATTGTCCGAAGCCGCTGGGTTTCGTCGTGTTTCGGGTTTTGAGGTTTAGGGTCTTGGGGCTAGGATTTAGGGTTTGGAGTTGGGGGTTTAACTTTCAAGGCTCAGGACTTCGGGCAGTACATCAGGCTTTCTGCTGCCATTGATTCCGCCCGAGCATCTGGCTGGGTGTACTCGCCCAAACTCCACAGGCGCTTCACCTCGGACGGAGCGCGAACTGCATGGGGGGGGGGGGTTGGGGTTGACATGAGTTCTTTTGATACCCTGAACTAACTGGAATATTCTATACATATATGATTCATATGATCATATGTATGTGATGTATAACCAACATACCCTGGGATCGGCAGCCACATCATGACACCGTGAAATCCTGGGATTCATGTTGCTAGACCCGACATCCCCAGAAAAGGTCTGAGCCACCCAGCTCCAAAGTGAATGTAGGCGGCTTGCGGCCAAACCAACGCAGAAAGCGTCTGAAATCTTCCTTCCGGGATGAAGACGAGTCAAAAACACGTCGGAGAGGCAGGGAGAGGGAAACTTGACTTTCGCTGCCTTCCCCCTGAGCACGAGACCCACATTCTGCTTAAACCCGGCGGCCTGCTGTTGGCGGCAGCAGCGAAGTCCCAGAATACATCAGGCTCGCCAACCAGGCCTCCGGGTGACTCTGCCACTCAGAAGGGCAGCTGTCTCAACATGTCCGATAAAGCGGGTTTAGGGAATCCAGGGTCCGTCCCTATCCTGGAGGGCAACTGATAACCCCCCCAAGCCCAAGCGTGGTCCGGCAAACTGCACTGCGCTACCTGACGACAAGTCAGAGCACAAGACCTCCAGGCGTGAGCAGATTCGGCTCCGCATGAACTTCACCTCCGGTGTCTTGGGATGGGTGCATCACCCCTAAGCCCCTATAAGGGCATGCAATGTTGCAGGTCTTAAAGCAGCAGTCAGCAGGGTTTTGGGTTTAGGGGGTGGGGGGGGGGGAGGGTTCAAACCTCTAGTTCTGGCTTCAACCCGTTCCCTGAAAACAAATCGATTTGGGATATGCAGATATAGACATGAGCTAAGCTTGTCGAGACCCGCGACAAGACATCTTTTCAGGTCGTTTGGGTACCGGCACAAAAGGCTCCGAAAGAAAAGCTGGGCGATTTACGACCTGCAAGAGAACACCCAATCCTTCAACCACCCATGAGGACCTGCCTGGATCTTGCCATTTAGCAGCCTTGGCCAAGAGGGGCCGGCCCAGCTTGGAGAGTAGTGCGGTAGGGTTCAGGGAGTTGGGGGGTTAGGTTTGGGGCTTGAGGGTTGAGGAGGTGTGAGGGCTGACCCGAGCATACTTCTCAGAAATCGCAAGACTTTTTCTTGACGCCTTGGAGCGTCCTTATCCCCTGATCTGAACCCGAACCCGAAGCCCTGAGACCCAGCACTACCCCAGCTCCGCTTGGGTTGAGCCTAACCCCCAAAATGGGCCTAAACCCTAAATCCCAAACCCTAAACCCGAAATCCCTATCCGGCCCTATCCCTAACCGGAAACCCGAAATCCTAAACCCTAAGCCCTACATCCTAAACCCTAAACCCTAAAGCCTAAACTTCCTAAACCCTAAATCCTCCTGTTTACGTCTTGACCCTCGGGCTCCCCTGAGCGCCGTGTGCCTCGTAAAAGCGGTCTCAGCTTGCTCGATGGCCCTGGCCAAGGCCTGGCGCACAGTTCTTTGATGGGTGTGGACCAGAAGGACTTAGGGGTTAGGACAGGGTGGGGGGGTTGGGGGGGGGGGGTTCAGCTAGACATACACACGCCTAGGTTCGCGGACTACCGTCCCGCCATATTCCCCTAATAACCATTCTTACCAATAAACCCTCATAACCATCTTACCAACAAAACCTTCATAACCATTCTACCCCACAATCCTACAACCACCCTCACCCAAAAGACCTTAATCAATTCTCCTATCAACCATTCTTACCAATACTCCTATCAACCCCAAACCCCCAATACCAAAGCTCCTAACCCAAAATCTTACCCACCCCCCTGTCCGCGAACCTAGGCGTGAACCTTATTTAATTTTCATAATATAGTTATTATGAAAACTAATTTAGATTTCCCAAGCACCTCTCTATATTCAGAATATGCTTCTTTGTCTTCAAATGTTCTGAAAGATGATTTTTCCTAACAGTGCAATTACATACCTCGCAGTATTCATTACGCAAACTTCTTTGTTGTCTTTGTGCTTCCAAGCAATTATTGCAACATTTATTTTCATTCCTAAACTCATTCTTATTTCTCGCAGCCTTACATCTGGCGCATCTTTGTTTTTCTTCGTTCATCTCTTCATATTATATGTCCTCTTCTCTTTAAGCTCTTTTATCATAAGACCTTTTAATTTTCATAATTAATTTTTATGAAAACTAAACTACATAGAATTACGAACTATCATTTCACATATGAACCTTGATGTTTCCCTTAAACATTCGTAATCCGAATTGTAATGGTTACGTATCTCATATATAATATGAAGAAAGAACGTATGCACCAAACGATAATGGCTCGTATAACCACATAGAGTATCTTTGTAGTGCTCCTTTTTCTCTTTGTGCCACTTGTAAAAATCATACGACCCTAAGTTTTCATACATTTGTTTCATCTCATAATGTAATTCCAGTGTGTATTCGTTACTGTCAATATTTCTTTTCAATATTTCACAAGCCTTAGAATATTCCGGATATTTGTATGACCTAGTGAAGACATTAATGTAATCATCCAACAGATATTTTAATTTACAGCACTTATCACAACAATAATAATCAGAAATTAAACAATTAACGTTATGTAAGGCGTCGCAGTTGCTTAATAATATCTGCTGTTTGCTCTTAACTTCATTACACACAGTGCAATTTTTGAAATAATTGAATTTGCTTATTTCCTGATAAAACATTTCTGTTTCATCTTCACTCTCACTTTCATATTCGCTGTCGGTCATCTCTTAATATTATATGTCGCCTTCTCTTTAAGCCCCTTTTCTCCTAATTCCTTTTAATTTTCATAATGTAATTATTATGAAAACTAAAACCAAGATTTACGTATGTCTAGTAATACATCAGAAAGAAAATCTTCATAATGCTCGTTCTTGTAAAACATTTTAAACAGAGCTTTCAATACATCATAACAGCTTGATAATATCGCATCATTGTTGTTATTTCTATGCCACATTTCAAACTCATCGTGCGAAGTTCTTCTAAACATCTCTTTATAAAACTCCTTTATTTCCTTATGCATACCTTTATTGTGTGTAATGCCCCTTGTGTAAATAATGCGTTCCTTTGTCTCTTTGTCATAACCAACACATCTAATTTTGATATTTGGTATAATTTCCTTCTTGATATACGAATATGTCGGAAATGGGTGTGTTTTTATGAAATAATATAATTGCAGTTCTCGTATGCCTCCGCTATGATATTCCATATGTTTTGATTCGTTCTTAATTGCTGTGTGTATTCTGGAACATCTTTTGCAAGGAATGAACTTGAAGATGTTTTCATTTATTCCGTGAGGTAATATTTGCATTTTATCTGACAATATGTTCTGTATCTTTTTACATTTTAAACAGTTCTTGGTTTCATCTTCCATCTTGCTTCTATATGAGATAAACTCTGGTATCAGAATCATTTTCTAATATTATATACTTTCTTTTCTTTAAGTCTTTTTCTCCTAACACCCCTCTAAATCCTATAACTAACAATTACGTTTTCCAATCTCTCTTCTAGCTCTCTCAATTTATCTGTTTTATTCATAACTTTCATAATTTCTCTTTCTCGTTCTATTTCTTCCATCTTCTGCTTATGTATTTTGCTATTCAAGTGCCGACTCAAAAATTTGTATTTATTAATATCCTTGCCACATAATACACAACGATGATACACATATAAAGACACGTTTTCCATTACTACATTCTTTTATTCAAGATTTGTTTAATGCTCTTTCATCCAATTCCTCTGCTATAATCCTATC